AGAATTGGGCTACCAAGTAGTATTATTAGTTGTCACAATGGGTGTGACTCACTATCTAACACGTGAATATGCACGTGGTTGCTTAAATAATCCAGTTTCTTAAAGTTCAGGCGTTGGTTATGTCATTTAATCCCTAAAAAATCCATTTATAACCAAAAGAAAGTGTATTTACGTTATAACAGAATTTCACTGGACTGCGGAAAAATAATCAAACCAATATCAACATGGAACTGTAACGGTTGGAGTTGCCCTACTTCACATAATCTAATCAAGATACAAGTCAACAAGATTGAAGGACGGAAATGGTTAAAAAAATGTAACCAAAAGTCATACGAAAAGAGGAAAAGGGGTGTCTAACAAACAACGAAATGTGGTATGAATGTAATATGTGAATGCATGTTTTCCACTTAGCTTCAGTCAGAGCGTTGTCACCTGGTCTCACTTTTTGGATGTCACGTGGATCTGGACTGGAAAGTCTGACTTCTCCTACGCCATCAAAACTAACGGTCAAAGACTATGCACATTAGTAAAACTTTTTATTTCCACAGCATTTGACCTTTTTCCAACATAAATTTGTTGCAGCTATCGTTGTGCCTCGAAGTAGACGGTGATGATTTCTTCATAACGTATGTCTCAGCAACCTAAATCGATGAAGGTTCACAACCTCATGGACTGACCTACCTCTTACCTGAGATTACGCCAATGTGAGGATTACTAACGCCGTGGTCCAACGATACCCGGGTAGTGCTGTTGCGACAATTATGGTCGAAAATGTGAAGTTTTCTCACATCCTTTACTTTCCATATTCATGTTTCACAGCTGGACAGAAGGAATTGTTGTGCACATCTGTGATGAATTTCAACAAAAGTGTAAAAACTGAGCATTCCTAATAGGCCACTTGACGTATAAAACTCGCCTGATGCCTGACTGTAGCCTCCACACGAAAACGGGTGTCAGAATATAGAGCCTTCAATGGAGTGTTCACCTATTCAACATCCCTTCTAGTGAGAGACACTGTCATAAAACCTCTCGACAGACTGTGTTGGATGGTGAATAAAGACAGTATCAGGCACCAGTAAGCACACCTGTGTTGTAGGTTCCTGCCGGAGGGTGGAGACTTTGTCGATTAACCGTTTGCCAGGTTTTATACTTGCTGGTTTTCCCGGGATTTGCTCTTCCCCAGCTTCACTTAGGGGTTTAATGTATGCAAAACGTAGGATCTTGAGCACAATCCCCTTCAGGCTGATTCCCTTGTGGTAATAACAAGAGGATTCTTCTCTTTTCAGTGATTGACACCAGTCAGTGGGGATGATATCTGATTCTCATACCCCAGATAGCTAAGTTCAGTTAGTCTGATTAAGAAAATTCATATTATCGTTTGGAAAAGTATAATCATCGAATTTCGATCGCACACTTTACAACTGGCTAATAGAAAAAAAAATCACTGTAAGACCTGGCCGAGATATGCATCGGTTCATGCTACTACACAGCAGTATGTGAAAGACAACAGGACAGAAAAAGTGATGTTAAGGTATACAATTGTTCAAACATTCAAAGATGTCAACAGTTGAATACATCTGACGGATTTCCAGGCATGTCACCAAGGGTCTCTAACCATGATATCTGTTACCTCGAGGATCCTAACCAATCTAGTCTACACCTCCACACACGACTTGGACCAACAGTAATGGACTTCATGGATTTATGTCACGTTTTTTTTATGACCACTCTAAGTCTTCTTCCGAGCCAATCCTACTTCAGCTAACACTACACATTGAAGAAGTCAGTACCTCGACATGTGCAACACATGTTAAAACCATGCAAATCGGTGATGGTTCAATTTTGACATTGCCAACACTGTAATTCTACCATAAGTGACCAATACTGCGGTCACCTGCGTTCAGTAACCTGTTACATCTTCATGTCCTCTACTTTCAATGTCTGTGTCTCCCAGCCATACGGTAGGGCACGACAGAGGGAAGCGCAGTAAACTCATCCTTTATTAGGTAGTCAGATATCTCACCGGCGCCAGACATGCTGCGAGTTGGCAAGTTCTAAATGGGCCTTCTGTATCCGAACTGTGATTTCGTCAGTAAACAACCTGTTTGAGCTGATGCATTCCCATTTGACCACTTCGTCCTGAAGCATCATCTTACACTTGACAGATGCGAAAAGCACCCCAGACCAACTCAGATGCCGTAGATTTCTTCTCGATGCGTTCATAAGAATACGCATTTTGTCAGCATCGCCTAACAGGACAATGTTGTCTCCATACTCCAAGTCAAGCGAGTGTCCCCCAGGGAGTAAGTCAATCCCTGTGAACTTAGAGGTATCTATGTCTAATAACGCATCTGTAACGAAGTTGGATGGGAAGAGCGACAGTTGGCATCCGTGGCAGACACCACTAGTTGTCAATCCATATGGCAACTCTCCATAAGCCTTTACATGGCTGCGTGATTTTAAGTAGAAAGCTTTAATTTGCGTTGCATACTTGCTCGATACTTCTTTCGCAGTTAGACACTACTATAAGATCTCATGGCCGATAGACCTAAATCCCAACTTTAGGTCAGGAAATATGGCAAGTATCAGTCGTTTTTACGTATGCTTGTGTCCCAGGAAGTGACAAAGAGTGAAGTTCTTGTCAATGTACCCTCACCCAGGTATGAATCCCGTCTAGTTTTCTCGAGTTTGTTCTTCCCAATGTCCAGTTAGAAGTTGTATAGCTAACAACCCTAGGATGCGATGTTAGTTAGACTGATTCCCCTTTAGTTGTCACAGAAAGACTTCCCTCCTTTGTTTTAAAGTTGAGCGATCCATAGTGTAAATAAGTCCAATTTCCACACACTAGCTTAGTCCTGAAAAACTTTGATGTTTTCATCCTTTCATCCTTTCGGCAGTTACAATCTTCCCTTCGAACTTTAGTCGTAGACTAGCTATTTACTCTACAGCGGTATCTGCTTTTTGTTTTACCACTATCCAACAGACCTTTGTAGTATGATTGGACCTCAAGGAACTAATTTCCTCACCAAAATAGATCGTTGGCTCATTGTGATACACAGCTCATATCACCAAGTCAAAATAACAGCTATCGCTTGGGTTTTTATTAGCTTTTTTTTCACGCTCCAGTGCATGAAGTTGCAGGCTGTTGATTTGAAACCCCTGAACAAGTGTAGACTGCCTGACTAAGAGACTCGAGGTAATAGGAACCAGTTATTTAAGACACTTAATGATGTGGCTGAAAAACACAATGGTGCAAATATATTCACTGTTTTACATCTTCAAAGATGGGACATTTCTACTTACCTTCATTTTTTCTCCTATCTCCTACTATACACTTTTTCTAACTACAGTATCAGTCTTTTTCTACTTACTTATTCTTTGTTTGCTGCTGTAAAATGTGACTACCTAAAGTGATGCCCTCTGTACGAAGTCCTACATTGATTTCGTCTCTTTGGGAAGAATCGATTTAGATCCAAAAACCACTGAAAAACACAAAATGCTCAACACCTGTTTGATTTGAAACCTCAAAACTTGTCAGCAATGCATACTTCATTTCTTTGGTGCCATGGCACTGTGGTCACTGTTGAAAAAGACTTACTTTGATAGAAATCCAATATTTGACACTTCAACTAATATTAATCTACTTATAGTTACTATTTTGGTCTCGATTAAAGAAACAACTGTGAACACCATATTACTGTAATTTACTACAAGCCACGATGGGAAAATTTTCTTGATTTAGCACTTTTTTTTATCTAATGGCACCTACTTGAAAGCATGCTATTGTAGATTGGTTTTATTCACTTATGACACTCGATTGTTTTTTGAAAAAAACTGTTGGAGCGATCTATGAAATCCCATTCATAATCATAATAATAAGAATAATAATTGCACACAGATTGGCAAAACTGATTCAGAGTTTGAAGTAGACGTAAATTATGTCTTAAGTATTTAATACAAATCTGATTGACTTTGTATTATTTTTCTTTAGCTTTTAGAATAACACAGGCAACTGTAAGTGAGTTGACTTAGAACAAGTGTAAAATGTGTATCTGTTCATTTTGTTGACGAACATTATATTTGCAGGCAAATAAAAAGTCAGAATATCGATATCCAAACTGGACCATCATTTCAGCTGAAGTTTTTTGCTATAGAAAGTCTCAGTATATTACTAAGTGTCATGATTACCACTGTGACTGCACAAAAGTGGCCCGCATTAACGATGATACCTAGTTTGACAGCGAAACTTCCAACAAATATAAATCTAACTGAAGAATAATTTTGTAAATGTATTTCTTAGTACATCTCAAACACTAAAATTTATGACTGGAAATCAATGAAAACTGGCACTTTATTTAAAAGAGGCACAAAATATTTTCAAAAAGATGTGACATTCATTGATGTCATCCCTGGTCTTTATTTGATTACACAATTGTATAGTTAAGGTGAAATCATCATCACTTGACCTTTGTTGTAAATTTTAGTGCCTCGTTTTATTTTGTTTATCTGATTTGGCACACAATAATACTGTATTATTCACTTAATAATGCTTTCTAAATGTAATCCAGTCAGTTAAATGATTCCAACATGAAACATCTGATAAAAATATAAGTAAATTTTGTAACAAGTTTTGTTATATCATCATAACACTATTTCATCTGTCTTTATACGGTATGATCACTCGTTACAAGGCTGACCCCAGCCATTTACGCTAACGTCTATAAATGAATTCGATCGATAAGTGTAGTGGATAAACCTCAGGTTATTAACAAAAAAAATATACAATGTTACAAGTGGTTTGCTGTTAGTGTGAGTGTTAGATCACAGCATCTTTATTAGTTACTCTGGGCTATAATTTCTGAAGGCTTAAATTAAAAATCAGCTTTTCCTTGCATCGTTTCATTTTCAAAAGACGTTCGGTCATACTTTTTGTTTCATACAAACACCTTGCATTCCCAGTAAGTAATTCACTATTATATCAGAATTTCTTTTAGAGAGAAATGGTAAGTAGTTACTCGAACTAGAAAGACACTTTTTAGATGTAAATGAACATGTTATTTATGTTGACAGTTTTGATGCCTTTAAAAGATTCTATTAGTGTTAAAAATCAAGTCTGGATCTATGCAGTTAAAGCTTGTGGTATTTTTGCTGTAATGTCACCTTTGAACAGAGTATTTCTAGAACAGTAGAGTCGATGTAAGCGATTTTTGACTTCAGTATTTTAATGAATTTGATAGGACAATCGTTTTAAATGCGTACTTTCCGAGGTCACTGGCATCTTTACTGCATTAATAATGCGAATGTCTCTGATTATGTCACGAAGTGAATAAAGTAGCCGTTTCCTCGATGGAATAATATTCAACCTTTTGAATGAACATACTACCTTACATTTCAAGTTGCTTCCATGTAGATTTAGGCAACGATCTTAGAGTGCATTCAGAAATGAAGTAATGAGGTGTTCTTGACTGGTGATAATTACGAAATCCTTGTAATATCAATTCAAAGTTATTGTTCCCACCATATATAATTAAAGTATTGTCAACATGTATGTGTCATAACTGGGATAAGTCGAATATTCAGTGTAGTGTTAACTAGTCTCATGAAAAAACCTATAATGTGACTCAATAGTGACCATATTGCTACTCCATTCTTTTGTTGTAAGACGCAAAACATAATCTAATTATCACATTTGAACTGGTTGTAAAAGCAATTGTTTTGTATTATGATATAAAGCTATGATTTCAGTACTATCAATTATTCTATTGCAAACCCTTTGTTTAACTAAATTAAAGGTTTTGTAGTTGTTGTAAACCTAATAAGTCCTTAATTAGACAAATACTAAGAACAGAGAACCAGAAAGGATTGTACCACTTCACATAAACGCATCCGCAAGTATAAAGTAATGTATGCCTTAAAGCTGGTTGAAACTGGTCAGTGTCAATCATATATGTATGTAGGATTACTAAAAAATATGTATACTTACATTAGTTTTACACCATTCATTTAGTTGTTTGAGATTTCGTGGTTTTGACTACGATGTATAGAATAACGCACTAGATACTTCAAGACAATAGTAGAGATTTTTTCATTATCAATGATATCATTGAAACCAATGCTGCCTTTGATATGTGAAGGCAAGCATCTTGTTCACCACTATACACATTATTGTTGACCTAATCAAATACTTTTCGAAGTGAACTGGAATTGAAATCTTTTATATAGTTAGGACAGTTATTCTACATTTACTAACATTATCACTAACGAAGTGAAATTCCAATCTTAAGAGTCATGCATTTGCAAAAGTAACCGGTTGTCTGATTTGAGGTGAACTTATACAATAATAACTTGTTGTGTCTACAGTACAAAGTCTTATGTTGTCGCCCGTCTGTTTGAACCCCCTGAGTCAGTATTCAGGATTTTGATATGCTGATCAGAGAAAAAAATCTCAGCATAAAAATAATAAACTGATTATATGAATCAGCTTATTGGAGATAATATTTTTATTTCAGTTCTCAGTATGTCCAAGTGTATTTAACAGTTCATTGTTAAAGAAAATGATTATTGACGAAAATTTTCACGTTCCTGTAACTTAATTCAAACCGTGTTTTTACTTTTCACTGTGCTTTTCTTCTATCATTAATGATAGTGTTATCTTGTTAACAATATGTATGTTAGCTTTGATACCAAGTGATGATTAAAGTGAAGTGAAAATCTGGGTCGTGACGGGATCCGATCCAGCGGCCTCAGGGTTATCGACTTGGTGCAACCCAGATTTTCATTCTACCTTCAATTATTTTTCAGTATGAACAATACAAATCTACTTTATTCGAACACTAAGTTTGTGCAAAAGGCTGATTTCAATAACTTCTTCAGAGTGTAATGTTCTAGATTCATGAATAATATTTTGCAATCATAAGATTTTCAGAAAACACTTCACAGAAACAACATGGAAATTAGTATTGGAGTAGAATATGGCCATTGAATTGAACTGTCATTTCGTTTTAGTTAGTTCCTTAAACTTGTTACACAGTTAAATTGTATCACTATGTAGTATTGTAGTAGGTGTTGCTGATAAGAATGGATATAAGTAGTATATGTTGAGAGGGTGGCAGAAATCATAGGGAATTGCCAGCAATGGGTAAGGATCCGCCAAGAGAAACGCAAGAGACAAGTCAGGTGTATGAAGAGCAAATCAAGAAAGAAGCAGGAGAGGGAATGAAGCACATTTTGCAAATGACGGTTTTAGTGCAAGGTGTACCATAATTAACGACTACTGCCCCACGTGTTGACAATAACATTCTTTCCTTCATACCTGTTTGTCTTTTTGCTTCTTTCAGTGTAATTTCTTGGCAATTTTTTCCGAGAACATTTTGTTTGAATCATTGTATAGGATGTATTTCCAATTGTGTAATCCCGGCGTAGTATATTAGAACAAATGACAAAATAAACAAATATTTTGTATTATGCCTCAACGTTTCGATCTTGCTAGGAAGATCCTTTTCAAGAGTACGAATCTGACACTTAGTTTTCAGGTTAATATTCAAGTTTTGGTACACAAAGTGGTGACCTTTACAATCATCCAATTACATAGTGATATGGAGCAAGATCGAAACGTTGAGGCATAATACAAAATATTTGTTTATTTTGTCATTTGTTCTAATATACTACGCCGGGATTACACAAGTGGAAATACATCCTATACAATGAATCATACTAACTCGGTGCCCAAGTTTTTTCAAACCATCCAGTCCATTGTTGGCCAGGATACGTTCAATCTTATTTGAATGACTCTAAAGGTCACCCTAGCAACTGCTAGGATAGCCATTCAGGTCTCAGTATTTCAAGTGAGGTAGTTTTTTCATAAAATAAAGAAACGTAATTGGTTATCTCAGAAGTTGTTAGAGTAGCCTTTAAAGTCACTCGATTATTACTTATAATTATATGAAAGGGGTGCACAGAAAGTTTTAGCCTTATTTATAACTCCATTTGTCTTCATTTTATTAGTTTCAAATGAAAAATACAACAAAACAGTTGCAGTTTCGAGGATAAAATAATTCATCAGGTTAACTTTGATTGTGCTTTAAACGGAACCGAACGTGATTTAGGAATTTAAAAAATATAATATAAGAAAAGGAATAAATAATAATAACAATAAAAACACCAACTTGAAACCAATAATTCCCCACAAACAACTAAATTAAAAAAAGCATCGAAATGTGCTCAGCAACTATATGCACGTTCTTGCAGTAGGCAATGAGCCACATCTATTATGTGACGGTTAATGATGACACCTTGTTGCCCAAAACTCGGTAGGCGGAGGTGGGTTCATACCCATGATCCTTTCGTTGAAAGTCAAGTGACTAGATTAATGAGCCATATGATTAGAGTGTAATTATGCTTGTCTATGTATTTATTCTGGAGTCAGAACAAATGCTATTGTAAAGAGGTGATTTCTTTTCTGTCAAGGGAATAGCACTCATGTGGATACAATAACAAAAGTGAAGAAGCGTTGTGTTTTTCATAGATTTATAATAGTAGGCTAAGTTCGCTTGACTTTCTAAAATAACGAAAACTGAAATGTGACAGTTTTATTTCATTTTGTGTGACATCAATATGACACTGAACAGTTTAGAGATAATTTATTATCGTAGAGGCTTAAAGTGGATAGATTGTTTTCATTTAGGTTAAACGGTACTTTAAACGTTACTTGAAAACAAACGCAAGGGTCACAGACTTAGAACAATTAATAAACAAATTTATGATATTTTTAGTTAATCAGGTTCTCAAACACCCTTCATGTGTACTACAAATCGGCAGTCTTTATATTTCTTGGCACTGGATATTTCCTTAGTTCTTCAGATTGAATTGTTTCTTAGTGTTATCTGTTAAAAAGACCAACAGTATCTGGATTGGAGATTTATCTAAGACGGAGTAATGAATTCGGTAAATTTGAGTGACTATTCCAAAAGCATTTTCAGCAAACTGCAGACATACATCAACAGCTGCCGCCTACACTCACTCGATACTGAAGATCAGATCAGAAAGCTGGAAAGAATAAGCAACTAGAAATCTGGATGGATGGCTGGTTGGCAATGAGCCAACCAACAACCTATCGCCCAACAAATATGCAGAAGAAAGTGGAGATGGATTGGATTGGATTGGACATACACTGTGAAGACCGTTTGAGTACATCACGTGCCAGGCTCTCGAGTGAACTCGAATGAGAAACGATGAGTTGGGCGTCCGAGGGTGACACGAAGGTCGGTGGGGAAGAAATGAAAGCTTGTGGATAGTCGTGGAGCCAAGTTAAAAAGACTACAGAGAAGAGAGCGAAATGGCGATGTGCTACTGAAGCCCTATGTTCCACTGGGAACTCAAGAGACAAATAATGATAATTCCAAACCAATAAGAATGTTACGCATGAATTCGTTATCCACGTATTTCCCTTTGACTTCGCTATCGATAACATCCTTAATCCAATATGAGTGTGCATGATAAGGGCGTACTTGTTACCTGAATACCGTGACCTTGAAAATTCAGATATCTGTTTGTCACTAGTGAATTACATTTGATCATTTGACGACTAAACTCGAGCGTGCATACATATATAGTTGTCGTCAGTCGAAACATTGGTGCATTTTTTGAGCTTGATTAACTCACGTAAGTGCAATCATACTCAGGTCTTCCAGAGTTTTCATTTAAATCTATTCCTTGTTGGTTTTGCAATCAGTTTACAGAAAAGGGTTCATGGGTTTAAATGTCTCATCAGCTACAAAGGTTTCACTGACCAAATATCATTATTTTTGTTACTTATCTTCATACAATTATTACTTTAAATGGCTTATGGTTGATTGTGTCGTAATTGCTGAGATGAATCTATCATTGTTATTAATTTCTCCAAATAATAGGCAGCTAGAAATCTATTAGTTAGCTAAAGGCAATCGGCAGGAAACGCTTGACCTAGATTTATTGCTTGTTGACTCTTTTCTGTAAGCCCTAGAAGGAAGTGGTTTCCCCTGTGATATATTAACTGGGATCACTCATTGTTGCAGTCGGAAATGTTACTACTAAGCTATTCTGTTCGTAATTGACCTCCTACAGACAACGTGAACAACATGGAATTGGTTGCTCTCCGTTGACCTATCAGTGCTTTTAATCTAGTTCTACAGGAGACCAATAGTGGCCTAAATGGCTTAGTGGTAACGTCACTGACTGTAAAACTGAGTGCTACTGGTTCAAATCTCACAGGGGACATCTCTTACCTCGAGGTTGCAGATACGCCTTGCTGACGAGTGTCAACAACCACGAAACCTAGGTCCAAGGCTTCCTGCCGATTGCCTCCAATCAACTAACACCTCTCCAAGTGCACCGCGATGGTAAGCCTCCCATCTTGGTGGCCACATAGCGAAATGATCAATAGAATTCGATGATCAGTAAGGATTAGACAAGGTGAAATTCGCTGCCCTCCAGTGACCAATCAGTGCAGTTAGGTAATCTGTTTATAGTGCACTTGTATGGGTGAGGGTGAGATGACCCCACTTATCCTCTGAATATGTTCTCATACAAGCACGCGTTCATAACTTCTTACTCACTGCATGCACGTGGTGGAGGATTTTTTTACAGAAATGCGAGGATGAAAGCAAATGTACAACGCTAGCACCGGGTTCGTATACATAGGGAGTTCACGTAGGTATGTTAGAAAACTCTGATTCCAAATTAGTTGTGCACATGGGTTCCAACATCCGAAACTGATGAATGACGTGAACCCACCTGGGTAACTGGCAGTCATGGAGATCCAGCACCTTTCTTTGTTCCACTCCCATATGGATCATACTTTCAGTCAAATGCTTGGTGGTAGTAGTTTAAAACAATAACCTGCTTCGATCTGAGTGTCGAGGCAGTATCGCGACCCATATGCAAATAGTAAAACTATACTGAAACATAAGACTCTTATGCATTGCCCAAACTTTCCTATAAACGCCTAAATCTGTATTATGAAGTCGAACTGAATCATATGCTGTATCACTTAATCGTCGCAACTTTTACAGATGACCCATACTTTTTTTTCGCTATCATTTTAAATTTTCTTGATTCATGTTCTCGTTTCACTCAGCTATCTGTCACTGATTAAATGCAGGTCTGTTTGTACCGTCTCGGTCTATAAACAGTTGCTTGCACAAAGCTGTCTGACTGTGTGATATCATCTTGCTCACCTATTCTGAAACTACTCGCATCGTTTAATCTGGCTGCTTTCAGCGTTCTGACAATGGTGCAGATAAAGTAACAAAAAGGCTTGACCAAGAATTCGGAAAGCCCTTCTATTTTACACATACGTTGTTTCGGTCATTTTTTGTAACCTCTCTCTGTATCACTTTCTCGGCTTCTCACTGTCGTAATATTTTTATGATGTTTCTTGGCGCCCTTTTCGTACTAATTTTTTGTTTCATGGGGTGACTTTAAAGGCCACCCTATCAACTGGTGAGATAACCAATGCCATTGCTTTATTTTATGGAAAAATACTTTCCCAGGCGAATTCCGAAGCCTGATTTGTCATTTCCGTAGTTGCTGGGGTGGCCGTTTCATGTGGGGCGACTTTGAAGGCCACCCTAGCAACTGCTGAGATAACCAACTAGGTTTCAGTATTCCGGCTAGAGAAGTAGTTTTTCGTAAAATGAAGAGAAAGAATGGTTTATCTCAGCAGTTACTATTGTAGCTTTGAAAGTTGCCCTTCATGTGGATAAATAGGAAATTCAAAATCATAAAGTAAACCTGAGCTTGAATATTACTTGCATGGGATTTTCAACATTGCATTTAACCGGTTGATACAGCTTCCAGTTGAATTTTTGTTGTTCATAAAGTCGTGCAGGTTCATCAACCAACAACACCCTAGAATTAGAATTCTAAAATGAATCTCTACCGTCTTCAAAAAGAATAAATCAAATGATTCCTTCTCATGACTCAAGCTCTTCCATCTGTTCTGTAATTCTGCCACAGAATTACATTCAATTATTTTGCGGATAAACATATCGCTGCTGGTAATATGGTCGTTTGATCTCTTCGACAGATACATTAGCTTATATTTACTGTCTTCACCAACTTTCATGAACCGCTAGAGATACACCCAAAATATCTAAGTTATTTGACTAGAGATTTTATCAACTAGTTAGAGTAATTGTTAAGTAGTTTGTGTTTTCTTTTCCTCTTTTAGGTAATGTCCAATGAAGTTGTTTCTTATGTTGAAAAGTATATGTTTGATTTGGTGTTTGTAAATGCTGCACCATTCGATTAACTAATGGTCACAGTTGTCGTTCAGAAGAGATACTCAATGCCCTTCAATCACAATCATACTCTAATGACTATATATGTAAAATTTGTTTTGGTTTACTGCACAATCCATTTCTATGTAATATTCCTTTCAATATCAACGAGGCACAAAGTAAAACGCAACTTATAAATGAAGATTACAATAAATATGCTCTTCTATACTTGTGTAAAAAACTCAGTGATTCAAAGTATCAGTTTACAGCATATCAACTTCGGGTGGGTCAGTAATTTTAACTCTACTTGATTTTCGTATCTGTGTGAGACGTTAATTGACAGTAGAAACGTGAATGAGTTCCATAAAGGCTGTATGCTTCTTAGTATTGATTTGTAAAACGCATCATGCTCACTATCAAATTTAGCTGTATGTCATTCGTTGTTGCCTTACTATACTTTATTGCTTAGCGAGATATGGTTATATATTTTTCTAACCATGCTTTGAAACTAATGTTGTTGCTTGTATTATTCTATCGTTGAGTGGACGGAATTAATCGGTCTCTATTAGCATATAGGCTCTTGGGCAGTTGCCTCGATCCTGCCTGTGTTTCACTTATATATTAGTGATGGATAGTGGCTAGGAGCGGAATCTAGGACGCGCGTTTCGTCCTTTTCGGGACCCGTTAGCTGGATGTACTTACCTCAGTGAGCGATGTTGTTCCCATTAGAACTCAAACTCCGGACCGATCGTTTCAAACACAAGGGCTTTATGTACTAGACCGCCGAGCCACGATAGCCACTTCTTGTGAGATGAGTGTAGTCCTAATGTTGCCACTACCCATCAATAATATATAATTGAAGCAGGCAATATTAAGGCATGCGCGCACGAGTCCATATGCCAATAGAGATCGATCAATCCGGTCCACTCAATGACGGGACAATACAAGCAACAGCATTAAAACTATTCCTGTTGCACAAGAAGTGACTATCGTGTCCAGTTGGTCTGTTGAATAACGCTCTAGCGTTTGGAGCGTGTGCCCCTGGGTTCGAGTCCTATCGGGAATAACATCGCTCACAGGGAGATAGGTACATCCAGCTGACGAGTACCAAATAGAACGAGATGCCCATGCTGAATTCTACTGCCAGCCATTATCCACCATTAATCTGCCTTGAAACTAGTTTGATGAAATTCGGTCAGCAATGAAGACTTAAATATAACGGTCACCATAAATAATGAATAGGTGCACGTAATTGACGATATTACTTAGGTTGGTGTATTATTTTCTTTGGTAGATCTCTTGGTACCTTTCGTAAACCAAGTTTGTGTTGTACTTGTAATATTATAATAATTATGTGCTTTTCACCGAGTTAAGTCATGTGAATTTTATCTTGGACCCATACTACACAACGAAAGCTCGAAGATTCTTGTTTTTGTCTAAATTGATCAAACCAACTCCAAGATTTTTCTTCCATTTATGAATTGATTTTTCAGAGTGCCTACAAGAAGATGGTAAAGGCAGCAGCAATAAATAAGAATAGCTAGTTATTTAGACACATCAAGAAAACGGAGGCAACGGAGCCAATGTTGAGTAAGACCATAGCAGTCTGTCATTGACTCGCTGAGTGGAAAACTAGAATAATGCACGGAACACTTCGAGAAATAGTTCTAATCACTTACAGCTAGACTCCGGCCACTTGGATCCTAAATGGAACACTGATAGAGGACTAACAACCCCTAAATAGGTTGGTAGGGTCGTAACTACCTTCAAATAACAAAAATAGCAGGGCGAGCTGCTATAGTACCGGAGGCATTTGAGGACGGTGATTGACGATAATTGGTTGGGTTAATTAAAATTCTAGCTGGCGTACGGTTATCACATATAATTCTCGTGGACTGGTTTCAATCACTGTTTGTCCCAATCTTCAAGACAGGGGAGAAATCCTCTTGTCATAATCGTGAGGAAATCAGTGTGTTTAAGATCCTGGTTTCTATGACCATAAGATGTCTAAGCGAAGGTGGGGAACAGCAAACGAGAAAGTGTTAGATAGGTTCCAGACTTCTTCGTGGGTATATCGAGCAAATATTCACCCTGCGTTTAGGTCTTGGAACGCAGGCATAATCACTGGCTTCCAACACTAGGTGGGATTTCTTTACATGTGGGTAGCACTCTACTCTGTTGACCTAGAGATCATGTGACAGTGTTGCTCACTGAAAAGGGGCATTGTATATGAACATTTACATGCTTGTTAAACCCTATGGCTTAGTTCCACGTGAGTTGTATTTGTCAAGTGGTGTCCTAGGATGTTCACATTTTTCATTCTTCTACTCATTTACTCCGTTTGGATAACTTGATTAACGCAATAATAACAATATTCCGATTATAAATGACGTCATTTCGTTTCGTATCAAATTTTTCATCTGCATGCAACCTGAATAACTAAGTCTTTCTGAAGTTTTTCCGATGATCTTGTCTAGAATGACAGTGGAAGCTCCACTATTAAACCATCCTGAGAAGATAGTAATGATGGATAGTGGCTAGCAGTGGAATCCAGGATGCGCATTCGTCTTATTTGGGATTCGTCAGCTGGATGTACCTGCTTCCCAGTGAGTGATGTTGTTCCCACCGGGACTTGGACTTAGGAGCGATCGCTTCAAACGCCAGGGCGTTATCCACTACATCACCGAGCCACGATAGCCACTTCTTGTGCGACGGGTATAGTTTTTAGTATATAATCGTTTTTATATCATACGTATGATATAAAAACAATTATATACATCCTGATAAGAGCTTCAAATATTCTCCATCATCTAAGTAAATAATCATTGGAGCAAATTTCGGCATACTTTTTATGAAAGTTCTTCGGGTACAAGCTTATGTTTTTAAGATAAGGAAAAACATTTCAGTTCATAATACCCGAAATTCTAAATAGTGATATTCAGTCAAAATAGAGGTGCGTCAGATTGGGAGAGTTGCGAAACATTCATGAATGCGTGAAGTAAGACTAGTTAAAAACGGTTACTTAATCACGGGAAAAACAAAATATTTAGTAGTTTAGATGAATTATCGTATTAACAACAAGCCCAGTAATAATGAAGCAACAGCTAATGTGACTGTGAAGTGGATGTACTTAAAATAAAAGCACTAAAATTGTGCAAGAGATCAAGAAATGAAGAGTTTCGAGTTATCAGATTAGTGATGGAGTGTCTCCTTTTGAGTACATAATTTGGGTCGAACTAGTAGAATGACTGCAGCTTCAGTGATTCTAAGTAGTCCTGAAGCCCTTTATTCCTTGCAGTGGAAGATTTCGATTCGTTCAGTGAGGTGGAGCATCTTAGGCGTAGACTCTCGCGTACATGTTTAACAATCCTAGTGAGAACCATCCTTACGTTCTTATATACCTGCCACTGCATGTACAAGTAAGTTGATGAATGTCGTTGGAGTTAAGGAGAGTCTGAAAATGGTCTAACTAGGACTGTGTAATTGAATACGATGTTTAGTACAACGGAACAAGTTTCGCAGCTGTTGCTTCTGTCTGGCATATCTCTGATTTCCTTTCTACAGTACTGTACTTCTCTTTCTTTTCCTTACCATTTTGATTCTTTTGCATGAATTTCACCCAGTCTAACCTTTGCTTCCATTCTCCCTTAAGAGCATACTTTTCTTACTTTCTGGCATGGTGTTCTCACTACATTTCTCTTGTAGATTATAGGACAAAAGATATTGAATATTAGGTATTGCTCACTGCAATTAGTTTTATAGTGAATACTTCTCTATATTGTGCTATTCTTTAAGCTTTTCGTGCCTACATCGAGAAAGTTTAACAAGTGCTGTTGCTCATTTTACATTATGAATTTCCTATTAGAATAGGCATTGGTTAACCTGTGAAAAATCGTCGTTACTTCTTAAGGGTTGTTAAACACAACAAGTAGGTTTTGGCCGGAAAATGTTTAAGGACGACCAAATCAAAACATGACATATATGAAGTCTGACTACCGGTTCCAACTCTTTGGAGGAAAATAAACTTCCCGGTTGTGATGTTTGAAATCTACGGAATATATACGACTCAGCATCGATCTTAGCGGTGCAGATGTATCCACAAATTTTCATTATCTTAATCGTCGTACCGGGTTTCGTATTCGTTTCGTCCTCTCCTTTTACGACCTTCTCTTATTATCTTGATGCCAGCTTCCTTCATGTGCTGATGATTTTTGGGGTAGGTTGATCCCCTATGCAGTCACACCAGATATCATGCTGATTTTGACTAACTGTACCTGCAACAGTATATATATGTAGAGATGAGTGTTTATATATTTTTAGATGAAATGTAGTATGTATAATAAATGGTAAGGTACATCTTTGTTTTATAGAGGACTCAACCAATTAAATTATAAAATCAGAAAAGCTATGACAACACTTCTGGAGATTTAAAAAGTTAACAGAAATTACTGAATGATCATAAATCTGTTTTATTTTTATTATTTCTCCCTTGGGTTCCTAGTGGAACATAGGGCTTCAGTAGCACATCGCCATTTCGCTCTCTTCTCTGTAGTCTTTTTAACTTGGCTCCACGACTATCCACAAGCTTTCATTTCTTCCCCACCCGACCTTCGTGTCACCCTCGGACGCCCAACTCATCGTTTCTCATTCGAGTTCCACTCGAGAGCCTGGCATGTGATGTACTCAAACGGTCTTCACAATTTATGTCCAATCCAATCCAATCCATCTCCACTTTCTTCTGCATATTTGTTGGGCGATAGGTTGTTGGTTGGTTCATTGCCAGCCAGCCATCCAGATTTCCTAGTTGCTTATTCTTTCCGGCTTTCTGATCTGATCTTCAGTATCAAGTGAGTGTAGGCGGCAGCTGTTGATGTATGTCTGTAGTTTGTTGGAAATGCCTTTCGTAATGCGCCAAGTCTCTGAGCCATACAGAAGCACTGACTTGACGTTGGTGTTGAAAATCCGGATGTTGTTCACGCTTTATGCTGAGTAAAGTAGATCTCTACAGTGATATCAGAATAATGAAAGCCTGTTTTGCTTTTCCGATCCTGGTTTTTACATCCTCGTCTGTGCCGCCTATAGTTGAAACGATGCTGCCTGGGTAGATGAAAGAGACAACTTCCTTTAAGTTTCTCCCGTTGATGGTGATTGGTGCTTGTTGTTGTTGTTGTTGCCATAAATGTATAAGCTTTGCTGGAATTGTTTATAAAAATTCATCTGGTTTAATCTCTCCAACAATTACGTTCGAATCTGCTCATATACAGCGCGTAAAATGGATTGATATTCTTTATAATTTACTCCTTTAATCATATAAATATGTCCTTTGAACGTGTCATGTACTGTTGCACATTTTTAAACTGTTTTCAATTCTCTGTCTCTCGAGTCCATCATAAAGCAGATAAAAAAATGTTGCGTTATGTGGAAATGGACTTTTCAGTGCACAAAACTACATCATATTTCTATCCATCAGATTCTTAGCTTGAGTTGCAGATTTTTCTACCATCTGAATGAACCGGCACCACCAAAATAATGCTTTCATTTCTGTTAATTCTTCATTATGGACCGGATTCCCATCAAGAATCAGCTTCCTGTTTCACATTATTGCCTCGAATACTGTTATTATTAACATCATTCCGATTCAATAACCATTTCGTCTGAAAGTACTGTTCTGAGAGTGAATTTGTTGAAAAATTACATGCTGAGAATTCCATACTGTCATACATATCGTTTGGAATAGAGAGATTATTATTACTATTTTTATCTTTATTATTGTTTATTCATCTAATTACTTTAATGTGTCATCTATTTGATTTTGACTTCAGTGTACTGTGACTAAAGTAGGTAAAGTGTGACTTAGAGTTTCTATTACCGAGTCACCCCAGAATTTACTTCTCGTAACGTCGTCATTGATTCGCATGTTTTATGAAGCGCTATTCCAAACCTTCACACTTCTAATTCGTAATGTGCAAATACTTGCTCAAATCCAAATCGTAGTACTGTAATGTAAAATTGTATTTTCTTAGAGTTGTGGCTCATTTGTCTATGAAGTTAGTTGTCGACCATTGAATCGTGCCATTAAAACTTGCTTCACCTACAGAAAGTTTAGTAATAATAACAATAATCGCTCTGTTTCAAACAGTATGTATGACAGTATGGAATTCTCAGCATGTAATTTTTCAGCAAATTCACTCTCAGAACAGTACTTTCAGACGAAATGGCTATTGAATCGGAATGATGTTAATAATAACAGTATTCGAGGCAATAATGTGAAATAGCAAGCTGATTCTTGATGGACATCCGGTCCATAATGAAGAATTAACAGAAATGAAAGCATAATTTTGGTGGTGCCGGTTCATTCAGATGGTAGGAAAATCTGCAACTCAAGCTAAGAATCTGATGGATAGAAATATGATGTAGTTTTGTGCACTGAAAAGTCCATTTCCATATAACTTAACATTTTTTTTTCTCTGCTCGAGAGACGGAGAGTTGGTTGGTCAACCAAACGGTATCATAGCTGTGACATGATGTAATAGTCGTGGCTGACTGTCTAGTGCACCTGCCTAAACGTGATCACTGAGTTGTTAAAGAACGATAAACAGATATCTCAACCAGACCTTAGACATAATATGTTTTTTTTGGCCAAATGGTCGTTGTCTGCTCCTAGTCTTCAGCAACCAACTTACGGCCACTTATGTAGCTGTCTTAATAATTGAAAGAGTAACTGAATGTAAATAGTTCTATTCATCATGGTTGTAACTGATATGAATATCTCCCAGTTTCGAAACATCCATTCATACCTTGAAGAAGCATGAAACACCTTTTCTCTCTATGTTTAGAACACCTCATACCTACTGTTTTGTTCAATAGGAAAATCAATCGATGACAACTTTAGCATTGTAAACAAACCTGGATGCTGAATACCTTGTTTTTTGTATCTAATGCAATAGCGATTACATTTTCTTGTTTTATTTCTGTTCTTTTTTCTTATTATAGGTCACTGAACCTATCAATATTATTCTGCGTGAACAATTTCTATGGGATGAGCTGATTTGTTTATCAGTTGATTATGTTGATGAAACTACTATCAATAATAATAATAATAATAATAATAATAACTACACAATTGAAAATCAGAAAAGTCTATCACCAATTATGTTCACAAAAAATGATATCAATTCATTAAGATCACGAACAATACCAGTTAAAACCGTATGGAAGTGGATTGTGGAACCCCATTTATCACTACTTCTAAAGGTTGGTTGATTATTCAATTTATACTTAAGAGAATTAGCATTTCCAGCGAATTAAAGGTTGGTTTTCATCAAAAGTGTATATTATGCATAAAATTATGAACGCTTAAGACTGACTCACCTTTCTGGAAGTTTACATCAATCAAACCAAGTTTTATTATGAATCTACAGGAACTTCGATGTGTTGGAGATATCTGTTGGTCTGGGAATCACCGGGAAACTATAATGCTTAGTATTTTGAGCTATAATAGACTGAAGTACTGCTAACATGTCATCCACTTTCGTTTAGAATAATTGACTACTCTTAAAAGGTAAAACAATAGTTGTGACATCGAGAGTTAATTACACTTGCGAATTTCGAGACTTAAAGAGTTTCACATTCCTGAACTCAATAACAAAAGCAGCGTATAGTGTGTAATTCTGGAAAATTGTTAGAAACATTGACAATAAATCATAATTTCCATCCATGGTCGCTGGTTCGAGTCCGGCTGCCGTCCAAATTCTCATTTCAACTTCAATCATCACCCAGTATGAATACTAGTCTGCCAAACTACAGTTATCTCAAATAGTCAAATGATAATCAGTACTAATCTACAAGTAGATGTAAGTCGGTTGGAGGCAATCGGCAGGAAGCCCAGGGACCTGTGTTTCAAGCTTGTTGGCACTCATCAGCAAGGCGTATTTGCAACCTCAACGAAACTGATGTCCCGCCTGAGATTCGAACCCGCGCCACCTAGTGTTGTAGTCAGCGACTTTACCACTGAGCTATCCGGGTTCGAGTCCCAGGCAGGACATTAGTTTAGTCAAGTTTACAGATACGCCTTGCTGATGAGTGCCAAGAAGCTCGAAACACAGGTCCAGGACTTCCCGCCCATCGCTCCCAACCGACTTACATCTACTTGTAGATTAATACTGATTATCCTTTGACTATTTGAGATAACTGCAGTTTGGCAGACTAATATTTATACTTGGTGATGATTGAAGTTGAGATGAAATTTGGACGGCAGCCGGACTCGAACCAGCGACCACCAGATTACCAACTGGTAGAGCACCGGGCCGGTTACCCGGTGGTCTCTGGTTCGAGTCCGGCTGCAGTCCAAATTCTCATTTCACCTGCAATCATCACCCTGTGTAGATTAATACTCATGGTAACTAAGGATTATACAGTACACTTCGTAAGCGAAAATCATTCTATTTTGTTAAGGTAGTTTGTATTGGCTACTGTATTTAATGAAGATAAAACCCAATTTTCACTGACGATTTTTGCACTTCACTGATTTCAGAGAAGCATAGCGATATTTCCTTTTTAAAAAAACACGTTTATTTGCATCATCGTAGTTGAATACATCTTCGGTTGGCAAAAATACACTGAGTTTATGGTTTTCAAAGCTTCCTGTTTGTTATGAATTAACTCATGATATATATATTAGTAAAGACGAGTTGTTTCGTAACTTGATATTGTGTGAAGAATGGATTTAAAATGGTGAAAGTCGCCAAAATGTGTTACTGGGATTGCGGCGGTCTAAGTGGTCAAATATTTCTTTGTTAGCTTGTATTATTTTGAATCATATTTATTCCCCGTTCTTGTTAAAGCATAAATTATATCACCTAATTGTGGCTTTTATAATGTTCGGTATCATTTATTCAGTAACGTAGGCGACACAGCCAACACTCAGTCATACTGTTTCAAATACACTCACTTCTTATCTCGCTCAACTTCATCAATCTCTCTGTTTGTTCTCTGTCGTTTTATATTTTTTTCCTTGTTCACACAAATATGCTAGTACTTTGCCGTTTTTCTTTTCTGTGATTTTGTGTATTTTATTTACGTGAACCGATATGTGATTGCGTAAATTTCTTTGTATTTGTTATTGTATCCACTAATCTTTCCATTTGTTCAATATTCATATAAATGGACACATTATATGCTGGAATTATTTGACCTTCAAATAATTACCTGGAGGTAGGAAAATATGCCTTACTATACAAATCACATAAAAGTCAAATGCATAAGGAGGCTTAATGGTATCGGATAAGAAAAGAGGAAAAGTTAATCTTGTTATTTTCTTATGCTTTCATGAATATAAATGGAAGCGTATATGCTATTTAAAACGAATTTACGAAAGTATGTGCCTTTGAACTGTCAACAATGTTGCAACATATTGGCTACTACCTACGGTTAAGTAGCCAAACGATTGTTATTGCAAACTAACGCTTATCTTATGCATGAAGGGTTCTTACGTTTTGCTATGAAAAGTATTTTTGCATAACCACTTTGAATGCACAATAGTCATATGCAGATATTCACAACAATGCTATGCAACTGACCTCTCTATACTTCATCTAACAATGAATATACCTCCTTGATAATGCTGCATACCTTAACGTGAATAGTATGGAAAACGCATTACCATTGGTCCGCAGTTTTTTCAACGTTTATTTCTTTGCACCACAATATCTAATTCTGATGGTGTAAATCTATATTGCTGGAATGATAACACTTGAAAAGATATTCACTTGAATTACATGATTATGTAGATACTTACGGATTTTCGAAATCGTCAATGTGGGTTCTTTCGGTACCCGAAGCTATAAGCATAAGAATTTATGGTAAATAGACGTTTATCTAGCGTAACGTGGCATTGCGGAGATGAATCAAACATGTCGACTGCTTGTAACGGAAATTTGGAATTTTGCGCGACTTTGGTGCCACTAATGGTGAAAAAAGAAAGCATGACTGGAAATGATCCAAACTTTAACACTCTGTATATGCTGGAAAGTGGTATTTTCTTATTCATTTCATAACTTGTGTAATCTTCTGATGTTCTTAGTAGAATTCAATGACCTCCTTTCTGTACCATTCAGGTCCCGTAAAATCTTGTAGACTTTCCAACATATATCAATGTGATGATGCCTGTAAACTGGCTTCTCTCATGTTAAACTACTAATATGAGAATAAAATATTGATTTATTTTTTATGTCTTATGACAAGTATCGAAGGTTTTATATGTATATTTCGAACTATAGGTCAATATTTCCGATTTTAATCCTTCAGTGTAATGTATACTTCTATCATTTTGAAACACTTGGCCAACCCATAAGCTTTTCATCAGAAAAGGAAATATTCCGCTTCATATCAGTGGGTTGTAGGTTTCTATCAGTTTTAAAAATGATTTACATAAATGTTTTTCTGACCAGTGAACTCATACTGAAAAACATAGTTTGCATGAATAAACTAATAATTAAGTTGGAAAGGTTTAGTTATAATCGTTTAAAGAAATCGTAGCTGCTTTAGGTATCATTATCTGGACCAGAATTTATACAGTTCGTTAGTTTTTGTTAGTTTCTTTCATGCATCCAAAAGTGCGTTGAGATGACTTGTCTGACCCAGTCTTCCAGACATACCAGCAACTTCAATACCTTAAATGAACGCAAAGAGAAAGTAGAACACATGTGAATAAAGATTTTTTACTGTCTATGTAATTGATAAAATTAAGTTAGAACAAGTCAGTATATTCATCCAGGGATTTCTACATTGTTGTGGATTCGGAAACATTAACAAACTTGAAGTAAATTAATCTACCAAGATAGCAGACTTCAAAAATGTACGGAAACTAATCCACTGACTTTGATGTAGGGAAATACACACAAGCAATACATTCAAACATAGAATAAAAAGTAAGTTACGAAGGCGAACAATTGGATTTCCTAACAGTTTTGTTGTTGGTGATGGTTATTGTTATGGTGCGGAGTTGTGAGAACGAACGAAAATACTCAATGATTGATGGTCGGGAGTTGACATGATTCAACCCGAGTGATTCACAAAGTGAAATCAAAGGACTGGAAATCAGATGAGTTTATAGTATGTCGGACTGAAAATGTTTATTAGTGGAAGCGGACCCTATTCATAGAGTTTACAGTAACCTTGAAAGGCAAAGAATAATTAGTACATTTAAAGAGGCAGAAGCCAATCAGAACACTAGCGGGTCATACGAAATATGACCCATGCGCAGGAAAAGAGCGCTAAGTAAATCAGTTCAATTATATATAAACAGTAAGTATGGAATATAAGGGATACAGGCATCCCTAACAGTTGTATACATTTCTAAGATTGTATGACCCATATAGGTTTTCGTTTTTCGAATCAATGGTAACAATTCTTACAGACTTAAGATTCATAAATATCATTTCATAATAATAAATGGACTTCAGCTTTCTTCGTGTTTATAGGTACAGAATCAACAGTAACCAAAGAATAACAGAATATGAAATAAAGTCTAGTGGTGTAAGGATGATACATGGGGCTATAAGCATATTGATGATGCGGTTCAGAAGTAGCTTTCGGCTATCGTTTTTACTAATTTGACTTAAATAGATTAGGGGCAAGGCTTGAAATAGCATCAAAAGCTTTAACATTGAAGATTCAATCTCAGAGAACAATATATAAGAATCAGCAACCACACGGGAATTCATAAACCATGTAATGATCAACATTTGCTATATCAAAGCTATTGGTGTAGATGAAAATGTGGCATATTTGTTCCGGGACTCGACTTTCAAGTAGTCGGTTCTTGACATGATGACATTTTTCTTCTTTTTACATCCAATCTCTGTACTAAACTTGTTCTAAACAGTTTTCAGTGTATTGCTTAAAAAACTACATCTGACTCTTAATAATACTATCTTAGTCTCGGTGAACTGATGTTAATTGTAGACCGATGACGATGATTGCACTTGAAAGTGAACCTGAGTTATAGCATTAAATTCAGTAATGAAGTCACCGAGTGAATAATAATAAGAATGCAAACGATGTTAACGAGATAAGACATGCAGACTGGTTACGAATATCAACTCTTCTCCCTCAAAATCTTTTACTTCATTGAGCCGTGAAAATCTAAAGCCAGAGACTGACTTGTGACTTTAAGCCAGATACTTTACTCGACAAAATACATCACTTATGTACAGTTTTCATGAATATAGAGAACCACTAGATCGAGCGTTAAATACTTGTTATGACTGGCCAACTAGAGAATAAATCGTCCAATAGGGTTTTTTCCTGACCACGCAGTAACATAAAACAAAAATAGGAACCCAAAACTTCTATCTCTGCGTTTGCCGAATTAAAATGGCGATTTTTATTTAGGCTGCTCCCTATGAAGTGCAATCTTATTTTTGTGCTATATCCATCTGTGAACGTTCACCCTAGATTTGGTATACTTCGATTTAGTTTTCATTTAATGGCTAATAGCTTCTCTGCAAAGCAATGACGACTATATTGATTGCATCAGTGCTCGTATTCCGTTGTATTTGAAAAAGAATGTCCTTAAGTACCTGGATAGGTGACATCATCAAAATACCTAGTGATATCGTCAATGAGGGTAAACTGATATCGACTATTCGCCTTCACATTAAAACATTTGCCAGTCGAAATTCGCCGCGAAAAGTTCCTCGTCTTGATTATCATCGTTAGGGAGTTACGTACAATCATTTGCGACCTAAGCTACATACTGTTTTCTTATAAATACGAATTTCACAATTCTGACACCTTTGTTTGACCTAATAAATAAATGAACATTCTACATTCTAGTCATATGTTAGCTTTTACTTCATCTATTTCTTTCCTATCTCGTAGGCACCAATGATCTATTCTTTACGAGATGATATTGAACTAAAATCAGTAAAAACTAACGGGTTAACTGCAAATAATCCCAATCATGATCAAGAGTCAAATATTATTTGTATTAATGTAGAATTTTCAAATTCTGCTATTCAGACAGATTGTAATGCATTTATTAGCTTTCTAGAGCGTTCTCCTTTGAATTCTATCCAACATTGCCTTGTTCGTTTCAAAAATTCAAAGATACCTCGTAAACGTTCAAGATTCAACTTTGCAGAAAAGTTAAAAATTAATTCTCTGAAACAAGAGACAATAAAATGTCAAGATGAATTAAAAGATGACAGAGAAGCGAAAGAAGTATCCATGGAAGATATTTCTTATCAAAACACAGATTCATCGATTCTCAATCAGTCATCATCTGTGGTCAATATCGATTTTACTCTACCGAGATCATTTCAGTTTTCTCGAGTAGTTTTAACAGAACTTGTTTCTTTACTGAAAGATACTTGCTTACATTCAAATTACATCAAAAAGTAAGTTTGATTTTCATCTCCCGTATAGTACAGAGTCATATTATCATTTGAATCGGAGGGTTTGTTAGAGGTATTTTTCAAGTTGGTTTTCATCATGGACTGACATCAGTTGGAGGAACATTGGAAACCTGGGAGCACTGAACGGCTGTTTCTTCCGAGTATGGGACACTTCAGCAGTGCACACCCACGACCCCACCAGGGATCGAACCCGCCACATTCAGGTTCCGTTGCCAGCACCTTACCATTGAACCGTTGGGTCTGAATTCATTGGTCCACATTTCCTACTTCTGTCAGTTCACAACATAGCGCAACCGTCACTCAATGTCATCAGATTTGCCCCATTGGTCACAACTTCTCATTTGAATTTCAGGAATCCTTTCTCAAAGCTAGTCACTCACAAACCCCTAAATCCAATTGAACTAGTGCTCATTGGTGAGTGGCTTCAGGAGGTGATTCCTGAAGTTCAAATGAGAAGTCGTGACCAGTGGGGCAAATCCGATGGTCGTGAGGACAGATACTCAATAATGACACTGAGTGACGGTTGCTCTATGTTGTGAACTGACAGAAGTAGGAAATGTGGACCAATGAATTCAGACCCAGCGGTTCAATGGTAAGGTGCTGGCAACGGAACCTAAAAGTGGCGGGTTCGATCCCTGGTGGGGTCGTGGGTGTGCACTGCTGAAGTGTCCCATACTAGGAAGAAACAGCCGTTCAGTGCTCCCAGGTTTCCAATGTTCGTCCAACTGATGTCAGTCCATGATGAAAACCAACCTAAAAAACATATTATCATTTGTTTTTTATCAATTTTTAAAATGCTGATCAATGTTTACCCAAGCTGTTTGATTGTTTCTAGTGTACTGCTACAGTGTGAGATTTGAAGATTGAAAATGTGGAAAATGTACAGATATTCGATGAGTATTTCCGTACTAACAATTGATACTTCTTCTCAAGACAACTATTTATTTATAGAAGTCTAGTTTGGGTGTTAAATAAAACAATACAAAACGACTAAGTAACCAGTTACACGTCTGGGTACTCATATATTTTGTGATATTATTTAGTTAACAAGACATCCTATTAAGTGACGTAAGTTTTGAATCAGTAATGACACATTGATCAAAAGTAGATTATCTAAATCATAGAAATGATGTTCTACAGAGTTTTTGTATAAGTTTGTGGGGAAAAAAACAAGTCGTATCTTATCTGGAATCAATAAACTACTGCCCTGATAGATAATGTTATACATGAGTCAATGCATAAGTGTAAAACTTGGGCACTGTGGTAGGATGTCATCATCATCATCATTATCAACATAGGACCAGGCATTACTGCGTAACGGTCCGAGTTGCCACACCTCATATCAGCACATCAAGTAAAAGGTAGTGAGGCGAAAGATGAAGATAAGTGAATGCAGTCAAAAGAAATATAAAGTACGAAAGAAAAGAAAGAGGAGTGACAAAATGGTGAGATTCGGTATAGCGTTGTTAAAATGAGGATAATGTGTGTATACATCTGCGCCACTGACTTCGGTTCTGAGCCATATCACCTAGGGTCTCCAACCACTGGTAGGATGTAATTCCAAATCTAATATGGAATGAGTTCGATGCACTTTGTTGACTGGATTACTTGTCAGCTAAGACCGCCAAAATGAGAGTTATACAGTTTGGAAAAAAAAGATCTATAAACTTCTTGATTTTCGGAGTGTTATCAATGTTTGGTTAGTGTTCCAGATAATAGTTGAGATGAGGCGACTTGCAGTAGGTTTGCTTAATGTATATGTATTCTTTTTATCTTGTAACAAGATCAGTAATCTTATTATTCTAATGTCGTCTGTTACTGGGCTTATCATAGGATCTTTTGGATGTATTTATCTCTTTCCCGTCGTTTATTTTTGCTGATTATGCTTGGGAAGCTTACACTAAGCTGTATGCTAATTCAGTTGGTTTTTTACTATCCACAGCTTTTTACTTGTGGTCCATTATCTTTTCAGTGTCAGTGGTATAAATGGTAGAAACAGAAACTGTGGTTTTCATTGAAAGCTGTAGGAGTTCAGTCAAAAAAGGTTGTATAATTAACTCAAAACCAGTAATACTAAGTTTATTATCATGTCGAGGCAAAAAAGATTTTCAGAGAACATGAACAGATGAGTTTTCCGTCATCGATTATTGACACTTGAATATAACAATGTGAGCGATATTACATGATACTCTAGAAAGAAAACATCAAGAAATTCTTTCCTCATTAATAATGATCTTCGAACTTGATAGAATCATCAGATCAAGATTTCGAATGTGGTATTATAGTGAAGCAGCTTTCATGATTATTACGATAGTCAGGATGTAATGTGCTCCTGTTATGAGCAAGCAACTACTTTAGAAACTAGTGTAACTAGTGAGTAGCTGAAAGATGTTCAAATCAGAATGTGAGGATAGTTTTTAAAACCAATGACACTTTCTGGTTGTTATAGGAGAGCAAAATACTTCAAAATAGGTAGTAACTAGAGTAGTTAGCGTTATGAAATGTATATAGTCTAATAGAAATCTCTAGTGGATTCAAAGTCATGGTTTTGAGATTAATGGTGGAAAGCCTCACTAGCTGAGTACTTAAGGGACAATTTTAAGTAGATTTAAATTTCACTTTATTCAGACTAAGCTAATTAAATGGTACTGTAAATCAGTTTCGTAAAATGCATGCACAGATCATCTAACTAACCTAGTACAAAGAGATGTTAAAATCTGTAAACTTTATCATTTATCTTGTTGTTAGATATCACAAACAAATGTAGTGAATAGTTTAAATTTATGCGCCTATAAACCATCTTCGACAATGTCTCATCGGTAACAGAAACCGAGTGACTCAAGCAAACATACATTCCATATACGCATATTATTTCAAATTCATGTAAAAGGAATTCTGTATACATGAAAAATTTGTAATATAAAGAGACAAAATCGAGAAATATTATCTCTGGTGTATGAATGTTTAGGGTTAGCGATGAATTATATTCAAATAGGGTGAAAGATCATATGAATACAATAACGAATTATCAAATAAGAAACGTGAAGTGTTACGTAATGGTTGGAAGTGACTACTGGTAATAGTATAAATAAACAAGGGCATAAAACTGATAATGAAACGAGAGAGCCAAAGTAAAGAATATGATGAGAAGGAAGGTTAAAATATGAAATATGTGGTAGAAATATTCATGAGAAACGTGCTAACCCTGTTTTAGGCCAGGGTAGATAAAATGGATGCACACATTTATTTAGAACACATAGATCAGGCTTTTTTGTGTTGATTCCTATGGCTTCGGTTGTAGGTAAGAGATGTAGTCGTGCCTCTTTGGCGGAGATTGTGAAGGGAATGATATGACATAAAAAATACGTGATCTACTTTCATTTGATATCCACTATCAACTAAATGCGTACGGCTTGCACTACTGATGAACTTTGTCATTCACTTCCTTAACCAAACTTGTACATGTTCACTAGGGCACATGAATATAGAGCCCTTTGAATACGGCCTATGCAACTAGTTCTATTGGAGCAGTTGAACTGATAAATGCACGTTGGTAAATTATCCTTTGTTCAGTAATGTCCTAGAAGCTGAAGAAAGGTTTTGCTGCAGTGAATATCCTCTAAACAGTTCTACACAATCGGCGTGTTAAGATATTGGAAGCAATATCACCTTTATAAAGAAATATATTTAGCTTGGCAACGTTATCTTTGTTTATAATCTCTTTGAGTTTCATAATGTGTTTATTCATGAAGTTTAGGGGATAACCATTTCGCTACAGTGTTATCTTCAACTTATCCATTTCATCTTCAATACATCCTTAACACTGAATCTCACCGATTCGCGATGTTGAAATTCAAGCTCTCGTAGTAACCATTTTGCTGTTGAGTTATACGGGGAGTTTAACATATCCGCCTCGTTGAGCCTAATAATATACTTCAGGTACTCATTAAATGCCTTGAATGCAATGAAATGCTCACTAAATTTGAGGAATTTATAAATGTATCCACTTACTTTAATTCAAATAAACCTTTGTCGTTAGCAGTAGTATCAGTTTCTGTATTTATCTTGAAACTAATACATATCCTACTTTTTTAACACCAGAGATCTGCAGGTCCTTAGTCGTTTGAAGAACAGATACTAGAATATCGTTTTAATGACATCTAATCAACCGAAGAATCGTTGGTAGTCAGAAAGTGCTTATTTACTATTCAGTATAGTTTGTCTTTCTCAACCCTCTACCTCAACTTCATCTACTTTGAAAAGGCCTTCAACAGCGTCGACCGACAAGTAGTTTGGCAGGCAGCTACTTCAACACTATGGAATACAACAAACTTTATCACCTCATTCAACAACTATATGAAGACGCCACATGCCAAGTAATCACAATGGGAAGCTCAGTGATAATTTTGAAGTGAAGACAGGAGTAAAACAAGGCTGTCTACTATCACCCATGATATTCCTGATTGTGTTGTGGTGGAGTGGATCATGCAACAAACAGTGAGGAGCGAGAAGAGGGCGATACGCTGGACCGCGGAAAAGAACCTAGAAGATTTGAATTTCGCCAATGACTTGTGTCTGATGTCACACAAACTGGAAGATCTACAGGCGAAAACTAACAATTGACAGAGAGGCAGGGCAGGTCAGCGAAAATGGGACTTCAAGTGAATATAGAGAAGACAGAGGTGATGAAGATACCCAACTAACATCACCACCAACAACAAAAAGCTCCAATCACCATCAACGGGAGAAACTTAAAGGAAGTAGCCTCTGTTTCAACTACAGGTGGCACAGGCACAGACGAGGACGTCAAAGCCAGCCAGGATCGGAAAAGCAAGACAGGCGTTCGTTAGCCTGAAACCAGTGTGGAGATCTCCACTCAGCACGAAGTATGAACAAGATGCGGATTTCCAACACCAATGTCAAGTCAGTGCTTCTATGTGATGGTTGAGGGACTTGGTGGCGCGTTACGAAAGGCATTTCCAACAAACTACAGACATTCATCAACAACTGCCTAAACTGGCTCGTTACTGAAGCTCAGATGGCCAGAATGATGAGAATAAGCAAGAAGGAACTCTAGGAACGAAGCAACCAAGAACCTATGCTCACCAAATATACAGAAGGAAGTGTAGATGGACTGGGCATAAACTGAGAAGGCCTACTGGGGACATGACGCGCCATGCGAGGTCGTCGAGTGGAACCCAGATGGAAGCGACGAGTTAGGCGTCCGATGGTGACATGGAGGGATCATGTGAGGAAGAAATGAGAGCTTCTGGGCTGTTATGGAACTAGGTTCAAAAGTTTGCAGAGAACAGAGTGGAATGGAGATGTGCTACTGAAGCCCTATGTTCCACTAGGAACCCAAGGGACAAATAATGATGTATATAATTATATAGTTTGTCTTTACAACCCCAACATCTGTGATTCTTTTTGCTTTCGAGCAAAAATTATCCTACTTACCATTGTGTTTGACAGATTGTTACCAAACCGTTGAGAAAAAATGACTAAAACAGCATAAAGCCTAGAATTACCGCTTAAACTACGATGGCTAAAAGGAGACTTTACGCGCGTTTGGTCACCATCTCTCAGAGTTGATGATGCCAGTGGGAATAGAAATATATCGAACTGAAGTCACTCAAAAGTCTGTATGTGTCACCTGTGTAGGTAACTGCATGTTTTGTGGACTAAGTTCATAAGAATGGCGAAATGAGAGTTTAGAGACATAAAGCGTTCTCCGGAGTCTGCTGGTTGGAATCCCACGGTGACCCAAACTTTCATTTAACCTCCAGTTATCATTCAGTATCAATAATACAAATCTGCCAAACCAAGGCTATCTGAGATAGTCAAACTCATAATTAAGATGATGTGCTTGGGAGTCATTCGTAGTAGTACATTAAACTTCGTCTCCCTCTGAATATCTTTTAAGCTATTTATCGTTAGCTTTCAAACTTACTACCACCTACTGGAACTAATTACCACTATGTTTAGTATTCATTCTTCCTGTTTTCGCTTGTTTTGTTACTTTCACTGTGAGATAACATAAAATGTTGGCAAATACAGTTTTTTCTTCACAGATTCATCAGGCTCAATCTTGTTATATGTCATTTTGATACAAACAAACAAACTGAATTTCTCTTCGTGACATTCCTTCGCACCCTCTAACATCTTCGCCTTGAATTCATAAACTAATAACTATTGATAACATTTATTCCTATTTAGATATCATTCATGTGTGCATATAAGGACAACGTTATGTGATTTGTTTCCATTTTCTATTCAAACATACAATCACTGATACAAGTTTTATTCTCTAAAGAAGTAGCTTCCTGGAAGTCATGAAACGTCAGAAATTCATTCTTCTACCTCATTGTGATTTTTCCAATTTATATTACCTTTATAAACCATTTATCAAATACTCAACTAGTTCAATTCTATTAGGTCAAAGTGTAATTCCGAAGTCTACATATATTGTTTCACTTTATATGTACACACTTGAATTAGTTTTTCAGTTCGAGTTTACATAAGTTATTTGTACTACCCGGTGGTTGCTGGTTTGAATCCAGCTGCGGTCCAGATTCTCATCTCTCCTTCAATCATCACCCAGTATAAATAATTATATTTTTATAATTTGATTTTGGTTTCATACCTACGTCCAATTATCTATTAAAATTTTAATCAATTTTGACTCACTTTTATATCACTCTTGAGTACTCGACTAGGTAGCGCTCTTACTCTCCTCTAGTTATATGTACATTTGTTAATCATCTCTATGGACACTAAATGTTTGCTGTTATATGTCAGTATTTCATTTGTACCAAGATTGAGCTTGATAAGAAACTATATACATATTTGCTCAAATGATTTCTCTCTTCCGTGTCATTATAAGAATTTTTTGGACACTAAAATCTTGCTCATATTCACCTCTTCATGATATATTTAACATAAAGTATTTGCTTTTTTTCCTCCTACCAACAAACCTATTTTTGAAATGCATTTCAAGTTGATATTTATCATAAACTGACATCAGTTGGACAAATATTATAAACGTGAGATTTCATTGGATAGCTGTTTCTTCCTACTATGGAACTGCTCAGCAGTGCGCATTCATAGCCGTGCCAGGGATCGAACCATAACTTTTAGTCCTATACTAGGATGAAACAACCGTCAGTGCTCCCATGTTTCCAATGTTTCTCCAACTGATGTCAGTCCGTGATAAATACCAACCTGAAATCAATAAATAAATCCCCACAAACCTCCAAAATAAAATACATAATTGTCGAAATATGTTTATTTTATCAGTTGCTGGTGATCGTTTTTCAAAACTGACATTCATTATTTTAGGCTAATGTTTTATCCACCAATCAAAATAACAGATGTATCGCATAACTTCTATATCTTTTCAAGGGTAATGAGAGTAACAATATCATGATGGGTCATTTCTGTATTTCTCAGTTTTGTTGTTTATCATCTATTTGTGTTATGATCAAAAACAAATTTTTTTAATTTTTTAAATCACGTGATATGTCTAATGTGTCAGAAACGGATGTTTTCATTTTAAAAATGGTTTATAGAGTAAGTAAAACGATTCAGACTACTGTTTTTGTGTAACATCCAATATTTCTGGTGGCTTCCGTGCTTAGTTGAACTCATGCTATAGTCTTGGTGAGTGCTGTTGAAATTAATCTCATTTGATCCATATTATCTTCGAATGGTCATTGTCGTTGGTCGGAGCCATGATGAAATCCATGTGTGTCACGTTTATGCCTCTACTTTTTTTTAGAAATTCGAAGTGTTTTCAACCATGAGACTAATGAAGCCTTCGTTAAAAAATCAATGTATATGATGTTAATTGAATTATCCCGTCATTGATTGGATCGAATTAATCAGTCTATCGGCATATGGGCTGCTGCACGGACGCCTTAATGTTGCCTGTTTTGTTCATTTTGATATTAGTTATGAATGGTAACTAGCAGTGGAATCCAGGACACGCGTTTCGTCCTTTTTGAACTCATCAACTGATGCACTTGCCCCTCAGTGATTGATTTTGTCCCCACTATGACTCGAACGCGGGACCGCTCGCTTCAAATGCCAGAGCGTTATCCACTAAGTCACAAAAGGCACTTCTTGTGTGATGGATATAGTTTATATGGTGTTGCTTAAAACAGCAGGCGATATCGAGGCATATGCAAAAAGAAACTGATCAATTCGGTCCAATCAACGACGGGATAGTACTTGCAGCATCATATAAATTGATTTCTTTATGAAGGTTCTATTAGTCTTATGGTTGTTTCTATATACCCAAGAAAGTGGTCTAGAAAACAATGAAAGTCGATTTTTGGAGACAGATTTTGATCCGAAGTTGATCGTACTACAATAGATGGATCTGTTCTTTGTTTTATTATAAGTCTCCTATTGAAGCATCACTTCCAGTTGCTTCATATTGCCTTACATGTTTCTTGTGTTAGTTATTTCTTCCATTTGAATTCTCCGGTTGCGTTGTTTCAAAATGTGGCGACGTCAAATGATATCGTATTAAAACGACCTATTCTATTGTAACAGTTACTTAGTTACTCGTAAAATGGTTGGATACCTCAGAATTGTTGACGAACTTTACCCTTTCGTATCAATTTGGATAGCACATGCTTTTTAGCTTATATTTTTATAAACATTAAACGTTTCACTCCCCTACTCATATTTATTCCTCATATTCTTTTCTTTCTTTCATGGTATCATTATTTCTTACTTCTCGTCGATTTGTACGTGTGATAAATACACTGATAGAAAACCTCTCAGTATTATAGTAATACCTTTCACTAAAGCACTTTTCTCTCTAGTATGTCATCTTGCTTTTCACTTGAACACTTCTGTGTGTAATAGAGTTAATAATAAGCTAGGCAATGTTTTTTTCAGAGGGTGTTTACTGTCTCTATTCTTGTTTGAGTTCAACACAGACATACTTGGGAAAGTTACATACCGTCTTTTGAATGCTCAGTGATTGATTTCCTCATTAGTTGATTTTTCGTCGATTTAGAATACGCACCCAATTTAGTTCTGTTAAGTTCGACGTAAGAATATAGTGAGTTTTTCAGACAATTTAATTAAGAATGTGTAGAATTCATTCCTCACCCCTCAAAATGAGTATCACTACCGCAGAACCGATCTGCATCTACACTGTTTAACAATAAATAGATAAGGAATTGGTTAAACTCAATAACCAGGTCTCAGCAGTGATATCCATTCATTCATCATTCTTCCTCAGAGTGAATGGGGTTACTTTATTTAGCTCAATTTACTAGGTAGATATTTGTGCATATTATTGGGAAGTCCATTAGTATGTGACTTTCGGTGGTTATTTCATCGATATCTACTGACAATGAATACATTCTAATAATAAACTTGTTCTGATTTGTTTTCCACTGAATAGCATTTCTGAAAACGATCGTTCACTTGCTTTCATATCATCTCTCAATATTTGTCGAAGTGTACCCCTTTACTTGGCTGGTCGTTATGTGAAATTGAGTCGACGCTTACCCCAAACTCCATGGATAATCGGGTTGCAGCGCAAATTGGATTCTTCTGTTGAAGAACTAATTACACATTCAATTCTGCCTAAATTGGTTCGAATACTCAAAGTTGTTTTGTTACAGCTGGTAGAGAAGATGTTGATGTCAGGTAATCTACTGTAGCATCTTATACAACACTTTTTGATCAGTGTTCAGTCATACACTTATGGATGTTATCTAGTTTGCACATCATTTCCTTTACAGAATCTGAACTTCCTGTTCATTTTTTTCAGTCTAACCATGTTACTTCTTCCCCGTAAGCAAGTTCGTAATTGTCATCCAGTAGGTTAATGTTATAGTGCATTTTCTTTAGCTTTAATTCAGTCTTCAGAAATAAAGATAGCAATTCAATGTTCTTTAATGACCCTTGCAATCATTAGAACTAGATATTCAATCGCACTGTGAAATTATAAAAAACGTTGTGTTTCAGCAACGAGCTTTACTGGTCAATAACCAAGTTCAAGAAATGAGTTTCCATGCAGATAATTCATCTGTGGTTTATGGGTTCCTTAGTCATTTTCTTTCACATGGACACTTCTGCGGAGAGAGGTGAGGATAAATAAAAAAAACTGTAAATTATTAATATGCGATGTGCTAATGTTAGCTATTTTAGTGATGTCTTCTGGATTCCAGTAACAATGTAACACCATTACTCATTGAGATGCAGGTATATTCGGTTGACGAGTCCCAAATTAGATGAAATGCATGTCCTTGATTCTACTACTAGCTACCCCGAGCAGATTACATTATAGTTAAACATATATTGAGGTATCCGCCCGTGGAACTCATAAGCTAACAAAGATCGATTGATTTGGTTCAGTATAAGTGATTTACTATAAAATACCTTGGTTGTATTGTGTTCTCTGAGCTGGCTTGTTTAATCGTGAACAAAGCAAGACAAATGGCATATGAAATCGAATGAACCTGTCCTTCCTCGATTCTACGGCAGACCAGAAATATACAAACCCGATATCCCTCTACGACCAATTGTCTCACTTCCGGAAACTCCAACACACAACATTTCAAGAGAACTTTCGAGTAAACTGAAACACCTCGTTCAATCGTATGGACATTCCATCAAATCACCAACGGAATTCTTAGAAAAGATCAAAAGCATTAACATAGAAAACGACGAATTATTGGTGTCCTTCGATGTCACAGCACTATACACATCCATCGAACCTCAGTTGGTCAAGGGAACGAGGTCCCTTCTACTCAATGAAGACATAAGCCTTTCAGAACGCCGAAAACCAAAATGTTCAAGTCTTATGGAACTCATCGACCTTTGTCTGACAACATACTTCCAATTGAAGGAAGATATACAAACAGATTAAAGGAGCTCCAATGGGATCACCGATATCCGGATTAATTGCAGAAACAGTGGTGCAGAGACTGGAAGCCATTATTCTACCTGTGATCAAACAAAAATCTAGATTCGCTATGTGGATGACACTTTTGTCATCATTAAAAAAGATGATATAGAAAACACTCACAGTTTGATCAACAGGGTTTTCAGTGACATCAAATTGACAATGGAGAAGGAGTCAAACAACCAACTACCATTCCTGTATGTTCTAGTCAGTAGAACAAATGCCGGAAAGCTGGAAACCCAAGTGCACAGGAAACCAACACACACTGACCAAATCCTCAACTACAATAGCATTAACCCAACGACACAAAAAATCAGTTGCGTGCAGACTCTATTCAAAAGAGCGAGAACACACTGCAGCACAACTTCATGGAGGAACAAAGGAAATTATTTGATGTCCACCCTAAAGAAGAACTGCTACCCACGAAACTTTATCAGAAGATGCCTATCCCATGCATCACCAACTACAAAGTCATCGACAGAAATCAACAAATACATCGTCCTACCATACATAAAGAATATATCAGAAATCACACAAGATTGCTGAGACCACTTGGAATTGGTATGGCTAATAAACCAACAAATTCCCTCCAAACACCATTATGGCGACCAAAGGATGCGACAACCAAAGAAGACAAACCGAATATCATTTACAAAATCAACTGAAATAACTGTAGTCAACACTACACATTGGACAAAGTGGTTGCCCTCTTCGCCTTTGTGTACATGAACACCAATTGGCTATTAAACGTCGCTACATTTTATCACTCATTTCAATGGATGTGGATAATTATGGACATGAATTCAGTTTCCACAATGTAGAAATTTTGGACAGAGGAAACAAAGTATATTAGACAATTTCTGGAAGCTGGGCGTTCAGGTCGGTCAGTCAGCTCATATCAACCAATGAGAAAAATGACAAACGACAGAAAGGTCAGAGGTGAAGCAGAGGAACAGCCAACAGGAAAGTCTATACAATCAATGACATAACAATCGAAGGAATCAATTACAGACCACATCGTAGAGCAAGCCACTAAATGACTCACGGAGAGATATTGACAGCTCACTTCATACTGAAGTTAGTGCTGACGATGTCACGACTAAACAACCCAGCTCAGAGAACACAATACAACCAAGACCATCCACCTGAGCTACAAATATCATCTATTACTATCAATAGCAAAACGTTAAATACCCATTAATTTCTAAATTTATTTTCTAGAATTTGATCACATCCCTCTACTGCTTACCTAGTTCACCTCCGTCTTATTTAATCCCCGTTGATATGGCTACTGCTTTTGGATTTTCAGTGGAAGCATTACCACTGACTAAACTGCACGGGTACATGCCACTGATGGTTTCCAGATAGGGTAAAACGCAAATCATGAATTCCACTGCTAGGGACCACTGGCTAAATTTAATTATGGTCTAGTGTTACGCTAATTGGAAATTCTAACAGTACTATTGGTTGTGTTCCATAAAAGTACTGATTTTATCATAGTGGTATACAATATCTTGCACAATTGTTTGAGAGAAGGAGTATGCACTAAATACACACTCATACTTAGTCCCCATTGAAACTTCTATACCCACATTCACCCTAGGAGACCACAATCAGTTTTCAGTTCCTGAGCAAAATATCTGCATTTCATTGAGTTACAGGTGATTCACATAGCCTTATATAAAAAAAGGCTTACGTTCGCCATCTGTAAAACATACCGTGCACTCAAGGTCATTGCAGCAGAGAAGTCCATGCTACAACGCAAACCGAAACAACACAACCGGTTGCATCACATCCCACTGTGTTCATCATTATTATTACACCTTTTTATCAAATCCTAATTATTTAAAATCTGAGACCATTTTGTCTTTCCTTTGTATTCCATAACTTCCTGAACAAATGCTAGACACCTTTAGAAATCAACTGATTTCTCACTTTGGGTTTTTGTGTCAGGTGATGCAAATAAACATTAGTTTTTGCTATAAAAACCTGTCGAGTTTCTTAGTATATATACAGAAAACGTGAATTTAATTGTATTGTACGTTATTGTTTTTTGATACGAGGAATCTGTTAATATTCAAAGCAGAATTATACTAGTGATTAGAAACAAGTAGTGGAATTATATCTGTAAATGTATCTAGTTTTGTTTACACCTTGTAGAACAGAAAGAGCAAGAATTTGCTATCGCAACGTAGATTTCAGTGTGTTTTGTGCTTTGGACTGGGTGTGTTCGTTACGTGAATGTTAAAAATATCCAATTATGTTCAAGATCCGGGTTTACTTCAGAAGTACAAATATGTTTGAATATCTGTTAATTATTGATACCTAAGTATGAATGGAAGGCTTCATCCTGAAAACCATTAATCGTCATTAGGTGTCTGACAACATTCAACGGTGGTAATTTATTATATAATTCCCAAATTTATAAATAACAGCCATCAGTGAAGCTCTAACCAGTTTTTCTCTTAATATACCAGAAATTTCCTTTGTGCTCTACGTTTTCATATCAATAATTCGAATCTGATATATTTCACCACACAAATATTGTCGAAACTGGATGAAGGATAACACAAGCGAATGGTTTTCCATTCATAGTGTTTATATTTATTGGTTTAATCCATATGATGAAGTGTTGGCATCACGCCCAATATCTGCAAGACAACTGAATCCAATACTTCTTCGGAAATTTTTTTGTTATATTTAACCTAAGTGTACCTGAACTTCTTTTCCGGGGATTCATTTCCAAATCGTATATTTACAAGTGTCTTTTTAAAGTATGAAGGTTACGAATCAAACTTGGTGTTTGTACTATCCATAAACCAATAAGTTAAATTGGTACTAGGTGCATCCGAATCAAAAGATTTTATCGTTTGTCCACGCATCTGACTGGAGTTAATAATTGAACGATTCAGCTATATGAGTTAAATCGACTTGGATACGTTAATGATTAGTTCATCGTAAAAGGAACAGAAAAGTAATCTTGTATTTGAATAACCTACGTCTGAGTAGTTCGCACTGCAGATTGGTGTATATGTCGGTGGTTTTCAAATGTTCATGGTTATATTATAGTATTCTTTTACACTTACACTACATTTTGATACTAGTTTTATCAGCCTTGTGAACTATGTCTCATTTCACCATTGCTGTAATATTCCTTTTCAATGGATTCTTACAATAGATACTAATGATATACTTCAAAATTCTCTGTCATTTCAAAAGATGGGATGGAGAAGACACTTTCGGAAGTTCATACTGCTATCACTGAAATCCACTCAGCAACCTTGTACATGTTTGTGCAGTAGCCACACCTATTATATTATATGAGGGCTGGTGATAGTGCTGGTTGTGCACGATAGGTGGAGTTGTATTTGAAATCGATTGGAAGTCGAGTGCTTAGACCAATAAGCCGCGGCTTTAAAATCACCATCATACTAATATACAATTGATTGGTGGTATAAGATTTACATTATTAAGACGATGTGCGTGGAGATAAAGCAGTCTGAAGTTTTTTTTTAAAGGAAGGAATGAAATGACAACAAATCATTGAAGATTGTGGTATGACAAATGTGAGATTCGAGTTATTCGATAGATAACTACCGAAGTGGATTCAGATTATCTACAATCTCGAGTAAGTGAAGAGTGTTACACTGTTGAAAACTTACTCAGTTTCACTTTTGGATTCTTTGTAACATGCACACGTATCAGGACCGTTCTGTCTATTCTCTCATTGTATTTGCTTTAGAATTTTTACGTGGTCATAAATGTAATTAGTGGTGACCCTGCGGACGTCTCACTTATTATTATTATGTTTCCCTTGGGTTCCTAGTGGAACATAGTGCTGCAGTAGCACGTCGCCACTTCACTCTCTTCTCTGCAGTCTTTTGACCTGCCACCACGACTGCCCAGAAGCTTTCATTTCTACCTCACACGATCTTCATATCACCTTCGGACGCCCATCTGGGTTCCACTCAAGGACCTGGCGCGTTATGTCCCTAAATGGTCTTCTCAATGCATGCCCAATCAATCTCCACTTCCTTCTATATATTTGGATGATAGGTTTTTGGTTGGTTCGTTGCCAGAGTTAGTTCCTTGTTGCTTATTCTTCTTGACTACCTAATCTTCAGAGTATCGAGGGTAGGCAGCTGTTGATGAATGTCTGTAGTTTGTTGGAAATGCTTTTCGTGACACGCCAAGTTTCTGAGCCATACAGAAGCACTGACTTGATTGACATTGGTGTCGAAAATCAGGATCTTAATCTTTGTGCTGAGTGCAGTAGATCTCTACACTGATTTCAGATTGATGAAGGAAGGCTTGTTTTGCTTTTCCGATCCTGGTTTTGACGTCCTCGTCTGTGCTGCCACCTATAGTTGAGATGATGCCGCCCAGACAGATGAAAGAGACAACTTCCTTTAGAATTCTCCCGTTGATGGTGATTGGTGCTTGTTGTTGATGCTGTTGTTGGTTGGTTACCTTCATCCCTATGTCTTTTCTACGTTCACTTGAAGTCCCGTCTTCGCATTCTTGTCTTACTCTCCTGTCTTCACTTCAAAGGCGTCACCTATCTAAGCTTTCCATTGTAGATCACTTGCATGTGGCGTCTTCATATAGCTGTTGAATGAGGCTGATAAAGATTTGTGGCACTCCATAGTGTTGAAGCAACTGCCAAATTACTTCTCGGTCGACACTGTCGAAGGCCTTTTCAAAGTCGATGAAGTTGAGGCAAAGATCTAGTTGACTGTCATTCTATACTCTGCTCTATGATGATGCGTAGTGTTTTAATTTGATCCGCACATTATTTGTTCTTCCTGAATCCAGCCTGTTCCGGTCGTTTTTTGAATCAAAGCATCCTTTAGTCTCTCCAGGATGATGCGGCATAATGTTTTGCTTGGGGTGGACAGCAGCATGATTCCTCGCCATTTCTTGCAAAGGCTTAGGTCTCTCTTCTTTGGGAGTTCGACAAGTTAGCCCTTCTTCCAATCACCAGCTAAGCCCCTTCCTTCCAGACCTTCTACAATAGTGGTGTGAGCGTGTCCGTTGTTGTCTCTGCGTCCGTTTTCAGTGCTTCTGGCGAAATTCCATCTGGTCCTACTGCTCTCCCGCATTTCAGTAACTTTATGGCGTTGAGGACTTCAGCTTTTGTCGGATGGCTTGTGTTCACTGGTAGTTCTATGTCTGGTCTGCTGGTGGTATCTCTGGACGAGTTGCAGGTGGTGGTGGTCGGTTCATCAGCTTTCTGAAGTGGTCAGCCCATCGTTTCCTTTGTTTCTCCTCTTTGGTAACTAAGTTTCCTTCACTATCTTTCGTTGGTTTCGTCTGCGGTGATCTCTTCCCAGATAGTAACCTGGTTATTTGATATGCTGTCTTCCAGTAGCTTGTTCTGCTTCACTTGCCAATGTGTCGTAGAAGTGTCTTTTGTCTTTGCGTGCACTCTTCTTCACTTCTTTGTCCAGTGTTTTGTACGTTGTACTCAGTTCCTCCTTTCGTTATGCATTCTTGCATTGATTCATCTTCTGCTTCACCATCTTCCTCTCTCTGCTCTATCAGCTTCCATGTGTTCGTTGAGATCCATTCCTTGTCTTGTTCTACTTCTTCTTCCTTCCTAATACAGTTATGCAGGTTTCTTTCCACATAGATTTCATAGAGTTCCTGTGTTCATCCATGCAGGTTCCTTCAGGGATGTTGCTCAACATCTCCATTTTGTTCTGATGGCTGACGTGAAGATGTCCTCTGTAGTTACGTTCTTTAGTTTCTGGGTGTTGAACTTGAACTTTGGTCTGTCACTAACTTCTTTCAAGGCTTTCAACTTGATTTTGAAGGTCTCTTGCACTAGATAGTGAGTGGTCTGAACCAACATTTACTCCCCTTCTTGATCTTGTGTCAAGTAGGCTGACTGCGTCTCCACTTTCTACACATTGAGATGAAGTCGATCTGATTTTTGGTATAGTGTGTCCATCTGGCGAAATCCATGTCGCTTTGTGGATATCCGTGTGCTTGAACACAGTGCCTCGAATCACCAAATCGCTGAATGCACAGAATTCTGCAAACAATTCTCCATTCTCATTCATATCACCGATTGTTTCTCGACCCATGGTTAGTTCTTTTCTGTGTTGTCTGCTCCGAGTTTGGCATTCACGTTGCCCATTAGAATGGATTTTGATGTCGCCAACTGAAGTCTTGTCTGGTACTGATTGGAGTTGTATGTAGAATTCCTCTTTCTCCTCTTCATCTGCATTATTTGTAGGTGCGTAGCGTTGTATGATTGTTTTGTGACTTTCTTTCCTTTTGAGTTGAATCTTTCTGTCATGACCCTGATCCTAGAGGAGATTGGTTCCCACTGCATGAGGACCTTCGATGTTTTGGGAAAATCATGATAGCCACTCCTACTGTGTGCTCGTGGTTATCGTCTAGGTGACGGGAGTAGATTATTGACTCTCCAGTTAACAGTTTGGAGAGTCCACTTCCATTGAATCTGCTTTCGCAAATTCCAAGCACCTCCATGCCATATCTCCTCATCTCTTTTGCGATCTGGACAGCCTTGGTAGGTTCATACATGGTACGGACATTCCATGTCCCCATGTTTACTTCGCTTTCATCGAGAGAAGACACATCGGCCGACTTGTTTCTTGAGGGTTTTCACCAACTGTCGTCATTTTGTCTCTCCGATTTCAGCGAGGAATAAGTTTGTTATTATTTTTTATATTTTGTTTGTGCTTCGAAGTTTGTTTAGCGATTGGATTTGTTTTACGGGATAGGATTGCTAGCCCTATGCCCAACCTTCCCTCTTTATGGGGCTTAGGACCGGCTAGTAACTAGTGAACTAGTTAACCGGGCGAGGTTGCGGACGTCTCACTATCAGAGTGGAATTTATAAGAAACTTTAGTTTACCATATCACTCGACGTATTCCATGCTTTTGTCCGACTCATCTATTCACGAAGAGGCATTGACTGGTGTTTGTTTTTTATTTATTATTATCTAATCACTTCGAATCTCATAGGATTTCAGCTCTAATCGGTATGTAAGGATACTTACAGAGGGAATGTCAACTCCTTTTTTAAACAAACTGCTTTTAAAAAGTCAATTTTAAGCCGATTTCATGTACATTTTATTTATTAATAGATGTCTTGGACTTGGTCGACCTTTTGTAATTGAAATTAGTAATTATGAACTATTGCCATCGGAAATAATTCGGCAGTGGTCTATTCATGGAAATATTTTTACAGATAGTTCTGAAAATGATCAGTCTCAACCGTTGGATTTATTGAAGTTGGCATCTTTGGTAAATTCAAATACACAGGATCAGGTGTTCATAAGAGATTTACAGGTATTTTGAAAAAGGACTTAACTTTTTATATATTTTCCTGTGAACCTAATTCTATTATGTGATAGATACTGATGCATGAACAAAGCATTTTAATCTTCAAAGAAGAAAAACTTAGGTTAAATAATTCTCTTCAGTATACGTCCGAAATATTCTAACTGGACTTAGCTCAAGTTAGTGAACACATGCACTTCAATTCTTATTAAACGTACTTGTTTTCTTATATTATTGATCTTACCATAGAAAACAAGATTTAACAAGCTTACGATAAAACTTTCAAAACGTCTGATTTGTATCTTATCATATCCATCGTTTTTTGCCGTATGTCTATTGCATTATTATTATTATCATCAATATTTTTTGTCCCTTGTGTTGCTAGTGGAACATAGGTCTTCGGTAGCACGTCACCACTTCACTCTCTTCTCTGCAGTCTTTTCAGCCTGGCTGCAACTCTACCCACAAGCTTCCATTTCTCCTTCACACAATCTTCTCCATGTCACCCTCTGACACCCAACTCGTCGTTTCCATTTGGGTTCAACTCGAGGGCCCGGCCTGGGGCGTGATGTCCTCGAACTGCCTGCTCAGTGTATGTCCAATCCAATCCATCTCCACTTTCTTCTACATATTTGGTGAGCAATAGGTTCTTGGTTGGTTTATTGCCAGAGTTAGTTCCTTGTTGCTTATTCTTCTTGACTACCTAATCTTCAGTATCGAGGGTAGGCAGCTGTTGATGAATGTCTGTAGTTTGTTGGAAATGCTTTTCGTGACACGCCAAGTTTCTGAGCCATACAGAAGCACTGACTTGATTGACATTGGTGTCGAAAATCAGGATCTTAATCTTTGTGCTGAGTGCAGTAGATCTCTACACTGATTTCAGATTGATGAAGGAAGGCTTGTTTTGCTTTTTCGATCCTGGTTTTGATGTCCTCGTCTGTGCTGCCACCTATAGTTGAGATGATGCCGCGCAGACAGGTGAAAGAGACAACTTCCTTTAGATTTCTTCCGTTGATGGTGATTGGTGCTTGTTGTTGATGCTGTTGTTGGTTGGTTACCTTCATCCCCTATGTCTTTTCTACGTTCACTTGAAGTCCCATCTTTGCTGCCTCTTCTGCCAACTTCTTAGTATTCACCTGTAGATCTTCGATTTTGTACGCCTAGACATTAAACATAAATCATCAGCGGCGAAATCCAAATCTTCTAAGGTCTTTCCATCGGTCAAACAGCGTACGCCCTTCTCGCTCCTCACACGATCCAGTCGAGTCCACAATCAAGAAGATCAAGCAACCATGTCTTACTCCTAACTTCACTTCAAGGGCATCATTGAGCTTTCCATTGTGAATCACTTAGCATGTAGCATCATATAGCATATAGCCATTGAATGAGGTTGATAAAGGTTTATGGCACTAAAGCCGTAATGTTGAAGCAGCTGCCAAATTACTTCTCGGTCGATGCTATCAAAGGACATGCCTATTGCATAATTTATTCTTCTTTGGAGCGGTGGTTTCTTGAGACGATTTCACTTTGAACTGTAAGTCTTCATAGATTATCTGTGTTACACGATAGTAGATAGTAACACAAATCGACGTAGAACCTAGTAAAAAAATGCATCAGTTACCAGACTTCACCTCACCATGCAAAGAAGAAACAGAAAAAAGCATGATAGTAAAATCGACAAAGTGTATGTGAGGAGAGAAAAAACAAATGAAGGTTGATGGAAATATTCAACACTTCAAAGAAGATGAAGAGTACATGCATTTGCAGACTGCGAACGATTTCAAGTCATATCATTCTTGAGGAATGTCGTTACTCAGCATCTTATCCTGCACACCCTTAGTTTTCTCCCAGCTTCATCTTGCATTGGCTAACGTCATCTGTATTATGGAGTACATAAAGCGCTCATATGAAAACGTTGCGTATTTAGGGTGTTCGTAGGTTTCTTTGTTTTCAGAAACATGTGAACAGACCCACAGACTAAGGGTAAAATGATGATATCGCAATTTTCGTACTTATTCTGTTGTTGAACATCTAGTGTTGAAAACTTATGCTCTTGATAGCGCTAAAGACTACACAAAATGACTTTAGTTACTTTTCAGTCACCCGATAGTGTGTGTGATCTAATTCAGCAGTTGGGCCAGTCGTAATCTTAAATGCACAATCGTAACTATACGGTTTCTGTTAACCTTTGAATGTGTCAACCATGATCTACTAATTTGGTTTGTGCTCTGTACAGGATACTTATATCAATACCTACTGCCAAATATTCTCATTTTATGAACATTTGCACAGAGAAAAATAAAACATCCAGTGACGTACAGTGATCTCAGAAGTTGTTTTTCTTTGTATTGTAATACGAATTCACTATGTGCTGACATAGGTCACTTTTCATCAGATCTTTATGCTACATTTCAGAGAAAAAGTAATATCACATATCTGCAGAACTGCGACGTGAAACTACCTCACTAGTGATTGTAATCAGTGTATAGTCGTGACTTGAATAGGACATCAAATTGAACAATGTTCCCCTCAGTCAGATACTTTATATATATTTATAGGGTCACCTGATACTAATTAATGAGGGGAGTTGATACTAACTGACTAAAGGTAGAACCTTACACACAGGTACCTCCGCTCCAGTTGCCACACTGCATCACAACGCTACACAAAGAATAGGTTAATAGAACAAGAGAGACACCAAAGTAGAGAAAGTTGTGTGGGAATAAACAACCTGAAGATACAGGTAAGTGCGGATATTCAAGCTTTAGATGTCAAGAATTGAATATATCTGCACCACTGTGGTCGATATCCAGCCATGTCACTAAGAGTCCTCAACCACTGATTCCTTTCGTCCCCAGGACCCCAACCAGGCAGTCTACATCTCCCAACATCGCTAAGACCAGAAGTCACAAACTTCATCGACCAATGCCACGTCTTAGTCTAGTCACCCTGAACCTCATTTCAACCTTATCCAACTTCCCATACCATAGGACGTTGAGGTAGACGCTGGTTAGTCATGCGCAGTACATGTCCTAGCCAACCCAGTCGACTAACCTTCACAATCTTATCAATCAACTTGCCTAGTACCATTCAAATGAACTCAACATTTGTCACCAAAAGCAAGCGACGCTACGAAAACATCCATGATCAAAACCGTGTAGTCGCTTCGTGTATCCTACTTTTAACGGCTATGTCTCACAACCGTACAACAGAAGATAACGGACTGCAGTGAAGTATTCTCATCCTTTAATTGATAGTCGGATATTTCATCTGTCAGCGCTAGATATGACGCAAGTTGGCAAATGTCGGACGAGCTTCACGTATCCATGATGAGATTTCGTCAGCGACTGGCCCTTTGGGGCTGATGGAACTCCCCAAGTAAGTCGGCACATTCCACCACTTCACTCCCTATCATTAAACAGGGAGTTTTTGCAGCACATCAGTCCTCAAGCATCATCTCACATTTGACAGATGCCAGCGAAACGCATGCCAAACATACTCAGATTTCTGCTCAACGTGGGGGCAGTTGATAAGCCTAAGTCTAAATCATAGTATGAAACAGGTGAAGACTAAGTAAATGTGAAGTCTATTAAGTAGTGTTTATTTACTACATCTGTCAAGTGAACGTCAAAGGTGGCATAAGATCTTTCTGATTACCTACCAATGCCAAGGATGGTTGCTTGAATTCCCATACCTCGAACTGCATTTAAATGACGACTTCGTAGTGTTTTAGAAAGATGTAATAAACTATTTTAAAAGTTTAGGCTTTATTAATCGTACGACCGCTATCAGCATGTTGAGATAAAGTTGAGCCTGATGTTAATTCCATGCCTACCTCAACTATTAAGTGTTATAAATATACTGGTATGTGTTATGATTGTATATATGATCTACAAAATATTTCGGCGATTGTTAACATCATGTAGTTCCAATCCTCCTGAAAACTTCATATCAATACTCGCTAGTATATTTTCACAGATAGTTTGACATTGTCAGATGGTATATGTTTGTGATACCATCTATGTTGAGATTTGTGGATACCGTTAACTAAGGATGCGTAATCTGAATAGCGAATGAACGATATGATACTCAGTTACTTGGTCGGCTAACAAAAGGAAGAAGACAGTATAAATCTAAAACGTTCATTTTGATGGATTCAATATCCTTAACACTATGACTATGCATTTTTACTTTACTTTTCATCATAAAATCATGTCAGCTAGAGAATCAATAAAAACGAGAGAACACTTGATCGATATTTTATTGTAATTTGAGATATATCACAGCACCTCAAGTCTAATGTCGAGTACGTACTGGACTTAAATACTGAGTGTTTTATCTTTCCTACTATATTTCTCGGAATTTCATCTTCCAGCTAGTTAGTGGTGTGTAATAAACTGTTAATAATTTCGGTAGTTTGTAAGAATCAGTTGGTTGATGTTCTATCTTGTTTATATTTCACTGACTCTTTACGCTTGGGATGGATGTGACGGCAATATATCCTCATCTCTTTCCATTTCTATTTTCAGTTAGTATCATCCGTGTCCGCTACAGCTGCTTTAAAGACAGGTGAAATGGAGAAAGCTAAATGTTATCGAGCTGTTTGTTGGTGTCCTCATGGTGGAATTAACACAAAACTACTTACGAAGATGGAACAATATACTTCTTTATTGTCAACTTCTACAGAGGAGAATCCCGATCTACCGCAGCCTACTATTCATTGGCCTCCGAATAAATCTCACTCTGTAAAATATGGAAAACTTTATTTTGGTCCACTTGAAATTAATCAACTTACGCCTATACGCGTGTTGCATAGAAGAGCATTGATGAATCGTAAACGAACTATTCATCATTTGTGTTTTATGTCATACACAGAGGCAATGAAAGCTAATATTTTTGAGGTAGGATTTTTTATTTTGTAGGTTTGCTGCACAATTTTTTTGCTGTAATAGTTTTATTGATGTCTGAATTTTCTTTATGAGTAAGACACTGTAATATCAGTCTAGACATAGTACTCAGAGAGTTTGTAGCCTCTACGTATGATGAAAACTTAGGCTTCCAAAGCAACAAAACTGTCAAAGTGTACTTAACTATAAATTTCTGTCAGATTTATAGTTTTGAACGAAGTTCCATTGGAGTACTCATATTTCTTACTTTCACTTTCAGCTGTGGTATCATTTCCAACACACTTAAATATAACACCTCGTTTATCAATCCAAACTTTAGAAACAGACTGATTGAGCGAAAAAATATATTCCTTTACAATTAGCCTTCGTCCTGGCTCTACACTAATATATAGTTTTACAATTCATTCAAATACCAATCAAGTGGTGGGGGTTGGCGAACAATATTCATAGATTTCAGGTAAATTCATGAAGATGATGTTTTAGAAATGATGATGTGAATTATCAAGAGTTATTAAAATTGGAAATATGAAGCAGGCTATTCTTAGGTAAATAAAGTGATTTTGATGAGTGTTCAGTAATAAACAATCAGTGATTACGTAATAATAAGAAAACAAATGAACAGAGTATAGAATGGCAGTCGACTCTCTACCTCAACTTCATCGACTTTGAGAAGTTGACAGCGTCGACCGAGAGGTAATTTGGAAGCTGCTTCAATACTACGGAATACCGCAAACCTTTATCAGCCTCATTCAAAACTATATGAAGATGCCACATGCCGGCCAAGTAATTCACCATGGAAATTCAGTGATGCTTTTGAAGTGAAGACAGGAGTGAAACAAGGCTGTCTACTATCCCCATGATATTCCTGATTGTGTTGTGGTGGACTGGATCATGCAACAAACAGTGGGAAGCGAGAAAAGGGGGATACGCTGGACTGCGGAAAGAACCTAGAAGACTTGGATTTCGCCGATGATGATTTATGTCTAATGTCTTGTCGCACAAACTCGAAGATCTACAGGCGAAAACCAACAAGTTGACATAAGAGGTGAGGCAGCGAAGACGGGACTTCAAGTGAATATAGAGAAGACAGAGGTGATGGAGGTACTCAACCAACAACAACAATAACAACAAGCTGCAATCACGATCAATGGGAGAAACTTAAAGGAAGTAGCCTCTTTCACCTATCTAGGAAGCACTGTTCAACTACAGGCGGCACTGACGAGGATGTCAAAGTCAGAATCGGAAAAGCAAGACAGGCGTTTATTTGCCTGAAAACAGTGTGGAGATCTCCACTCAGCATGTGGAACAAGATGCAGATTTTCAACACCAACGTCAAGTCAGTGCTTCTATGTGATGGTTGAGAGACTTGGTGGCGCGTTATGAAAGGGATTTCCAACAAACTACAGACATTCGTCAATAACTGCCTACGCTGGCTCGTTACTGAACATTAGATGAGAAGCCCAGAAAGAATAAGCAACAAGGAACTCTGGGAACGAAGCAACCAAGAACCTATTGCTCACCAAATATGCAGAAGGAAGTGTAGATGGATTGGGCATACACTGAGAAGGCCGACTGGGGACATCGCGCGTCAGGCCCTCGAGTGGAACCCCGATGGGAAACGACGAGTTGGGTGTCCGATGGTGACATGGAAGGGATCGTGCGAGGAGGAAATGAGAGCTTGTGGCCTGTCGTGGAGCCAGGTTCAAAAGATTTCAGAGGAGAGAGTGGAATGGAGATGTGCTACTGAAGCCCTATGTTCCGCTAGGAACCCAAGGGACAAATAATAATAATAATAATAATTGATAGAAACAAGAGGGGGAGGGGTGTACAAAGTAATACTAGAATTTACATCATGTTGATGGCCACGGTACTGAAAGTGGTCAAACAGACTTCTTTTGGATACAAAGGCTAGGTTTGTGAGGGTGGATTGCAATCGCCTCTGCTATATGAAGTAACCGAGTGCGTAATCCATGAGGTAAATTAATTAGAATCTGATGGATAATTTTGAAGCACTGACTCGACGTTGGTGTTGAAAATCTGCATCTTGTTCACACTGTATGCTGAGTGCAGAAGATCTCTACACTGGTTTCAGGCTAATGAACGCCTGTCTTGCTTTTCCGATTCTGACTTTAACATCCTCGTCTGTGCCGCCTGTAATTGAGACACTGCTGCCTAGGTAGGTGTTAGAGGCCACTTCCTTTAAGTTTCTCCATCATCATCATCATCATTATCAACATAGGACCAGGCATTACTGCGTAACGGTCCGAGTTGCCACACCTCATATCAGCACATCAAGTAAAAAGGTAGTGAGGTGAAGGATGAAGATAAGTGAATGCAGTCAAAAGAAATATAAAGTACGAGAAGAAAGGAAAGAGGAGTGACAAAATAGTGAGATTCGGTATAGCGTTGTTAAGATGAGGATAATGTGTGTATACATCTGCGCCACTGACTTCGGTTCTGAGCCATATCACCTAGGGTCTGCAACCACTGGTTCCTCTTGTCCCGTGGACCCCAACCACCTAGTCTGCATCGTCCTACATGGCTTAAACCAACAGTCAGAGACTTCATACATTGGTGCCATGTTTTAGTCTGGCCACCTCGGGCCTTTTTCCAGCCTGAACCCACCTCAGCCAACATTGTGTGACGAGGCAATCGGTGACTAGGCATACGTAGTACGTGTCCCAACCATCTCAGTCGATGAAGGTTCACAACCTCGTCGACTGACTTACCTCTTCTCCCTAAAACTCTACACCTAACTTCTGTATTACTCACATGGTGACACCACGGGATACGTCCTATACTACGAAGGCAACGGTGGTCAAACACCTGTAACCTTCTCATGTCTTCCACTTTCAATGGCCATGTTTCACAGCCATACAGTAGAACAGAGCGGACTGCTGTGCAGTACACGCGACCCTTAATAGACAAACGAATATCACGGCGGCGCCATAGGTGGCGCAAATTGGCAAAAGCCAATCGAGCCTTTTGTATCCGTGCAGAAATCTCATCGGCAACTAACCCACCGGGTTGATCCTACTTCCCAGGTAAGTGAAGTGGTCAACACACTCAACCACTTCACTCTCTATTGTTAACCGCGGTACCGCTGAAGACCAGTCCTGGAGCAAAAATTTGCATTTGGGTGGTGAAAATCGCATCCCAAACATTCTCAAATTCCCACTCAAAGTGTTCAGAAGACTCTGCATCTTGTCAGCGTCTTCACCTAACAGGACTATGTCATCTGCATATTCTAGATCTAAGGAAAATTCACCTGTGATCCGGTCAACGTCTTTGTAATTAGGTGACGAGAGGGAAACCTCCATAAGAATATCTATGATAAAATTAAATAAGAATGGGGATAGTGGGCATCCTTGACGGACACCACTTGATGAGTATAGCTCCCTGGACAACTCACCATAGGCTCTAACATGCCCACAAGTGTTCGAGTAGAGAGCTTTCAATAAGGTGATGTACTTACTAGGCACGCCTTTCAGTGACAGACACTGCCATAAGACTTCTCGATCAACGGAGTCAAATGCCGCCTTCAGGTCGAGAAATACAGCTATTGTCGGGCGTCTGTAAGCATGCCTATGTTCCAGGACCTGGCGCAGTGTGAATATTTGGTCGATACATCCACGGCCAGGTCTAAAGCCTGCCTGGTTTTCTCGGGCTTGCTGTTCCCGAGCTCCACTCAGGCGTCGGAGAATTATAGAACTTAGGATCTTAGACACTATGTTTGTCAGGCTGATTCCTCTGTGGTTATCACAAGAGGACTTCTCGCCTTTCTTGAAGACTGGGATGATCAGTGACTTAGACCAGTCGGAGGGGATCGTATTTGATTCCCATATACTGGCTAACACTTCCGTTAGCCTGACTAAGAGAACTCTACCACCATTCTTGTATACCTCAGCAGGTAGTCCGTCTGGTCCTGCTGCCCTTCCCCGTTTCAGGCTACCTACCGCTTTCTCAACTTCTTCTAGTGTTGGGGGACCTGTCTCTATGTCCCATTCAGGGTCCGACTGGATAGCGGGCAGCGCAATGGTGGCTGGAGGCCAGTTAAACTGTTCCTCAAAGTGTTCTGCCCATCGTCCCAGTCGCCTTCCCTGCGAGTGAATCGCCGATCCGTCCTTCTCCGCTATAACCTCACTAACTGTTGTTGACCATTTCCCCCCAGTCTCCTTAATAAGTCTAAATAACTGTCTACTGTTACCGATCGCCGCTGCCTTTTCCATCTCTTTAGCCTTTGCTGCCCACCACTGTTCACGATCGTTGCGCAGACTTTTCGTCAGTTTATTTTTAAGTTGCGCTCGCTCTTCATTGTACTCAGAGCCTGCAGGGATGCATTCACGTGCATCCATTAGTTTGGAAGAAGCTGCTGATATCCACTGGCTCTTTTTAGCCATTATCTTGGAGTCGGCTACAGTCTCCAGTGCTGCTTTTACAGTAGACTGAAGATGGCACCAAGCTTCTTCTGGATGAGTGACAGTCTTTTGTTCCGATAACTGCCTAGCCAACTTCTCACTGAACACGGCTTTGGTGTTTTCGTTGTCCAGCAGAACTCGTAGTGGTTTTGTTGCCAAATTTTTTCTACGTCCATTGAGACGCAGGCATATACGTGCTCGGACCAACGCATGATCGCTGTCCAAACACGTACTCCAGAAGGAGCGGCAGTCTTCCACCGATCCTCTCCAGCGATGACTAATAGCAATGTGGTCTATCTGTGTCCATCGCTGAGTCGAGCTCGGTGGACGCCAGGTCAGACAGTGCCTTTCTTTATGTCTGAAATTTGTGCTGGCTAAAAATAGGCGGTTATCTGAGCATAGTTGTAATAGGCGATCACCGTTATCTGTACGTTCAGCTGGGATTCCGAAAGTGCCACCTAAGTGCCTTTCTGCCTCACTCAGTCTACCCACCTGTGCGTTGAGGTCACCTGCAACAACCACTACGTCCGAACGTTTGGCTTTCGAGAGGAGGTTAGACAGTTTATGGTAGAACTCGTCCTTCACTTCATCCGAACTACAGTCAGTGGGTGCGTAAGCAGAGATTACAAAGAGACAACGGCGAGTCTCACTATTCCTTTTAGTTCTCACTGTGCCGTTCAGCCTCATAGCGCAGAGGCGACTATCAACTGGGATCCAGTCTAGTAGTGAGTTTTCTGCCCTGGTGCTTAATGCTATACCTACACCTGCAAGACCACGAGAGCTAGCTATCGAATCTCCAGAAACTCGAAGGGTGAATTTTGCAGATTCACCAGATTGGTCAGGAGAGGTCAGGTGAATAACCACACTTGGGTCCTGTATGCGTGTCTCACAAACACAGCACACATCCATGCCCCGAGTTGCTAGAGTCTTTGCCAACGAAGCCTGTTGGCCAATTTGACGGAGGGTGCGGACATTGAAGGCTCCAATATGTAATTTGGAGCGTGGTTTAAGGAGACCAGGGACGCTGTTCTGTGGACTCAGATCGTTGTCGAAGGCTGCAGAGGTAGGAGAAATTGAAGATGATGCAGCATCATTAATTAAGAGACGTGAAGGAAGATTAGAAGGTAATGATGGAGGAGGAGGATAGCAGTCAGAAGAAACTTGGGTGCTGACAGAGTTGTGAGGGCGGTTGACACTTCCCGGCTGCCCACACCGTGGAAGGCTATTTCTTCTTAAGGTACCTGAAAGAGATTTGTGTGACCGCAGAGCCCATCGGACATCTGCTTGAGGCCTGTCACACCCAGCCTTTTGAGTATGATTATTTTGAATTTTTGTATTTTTGGGGCCGGATGAGCGAAAGGAAACGACAAGTGAACCAACACCGCCGGCCCGGCAGACCGTGGGGCGTGGTGGAGTGTGTTATTTTTGGGGCCGACCTTTTCTAACCCCCCCTTCCACTGAGAAGGCAGCATCAGCTTGGCACTGCTGGTCATCCAAGGGAAACACCTTACTGCTGTCACACCCCATCCAGCTAGCAGCAGTACGACTTCGCCCTCAGACCCCCATCATAGTGTAGCAATTTACACTATGACGGTAACTGCTTTTCGTCTAACCACTACCCAACAGACCTTTCTGGTATGGTAGGACCTCGAGGGAACAAGCGTTCCACCAGCATAGCTCGTTGGGTCATTGTGATATGCAAGCCCGACCACCACGTCAAGGTAGCAGCTATCGGTCGTTGATCGTGATAGCAGCTTGTTGTTATTGTTGTTGTTGGTTGAGTATCTTCATCACCTCTACCTTCTCTATATTCACTTGAAGCATGTCCCGTCTTCGCTGACCTCCCTCTTCCGTCAACCTCTTAATTTTCGCCTGTGGATCGTCAAGTTTGTGTGACATTGGACACAAGTCATCGGCGAAATCCAAATCTCCTAGGTTCTTTTCCGCAGTCCAGCGTATCCCCCTTTTCTCGCTTCCCACTGTTTGTTGCATGATCCAGTCCACCACAACACAATCAGGAATATCATGGGGGATAGTAGACAGCCTTGTTTCACTCCTGTCTTCACTTCAAAAGCATCACTGAATTTCCATGGTGAATTACTTGGCCGGCATGTGGCATCTTCATATAGTTGTTGAATGAGGCTGATAAAGGTTTGCGGTATTCCGTAGTATTGAAGCAGCTTCCAAATTACCTCTCGGTCGACGCTGTCAAAGGCCTTCTCAAAGTCGATGAAGTTGAGGTAGAGAGTCGACTGCCATTCTATACTCTGTTCATTTGTTTTCTTATTATTACGTAATCACTGATTGTTTATTACTGAACACTCATCAAAAATCACTTTATTTACCTAAGAATAGCCTGCTTCATATTTCCAATTTTAATAACTCTTGATAATTCACATCATCATTTCTAAAACATCATCTTCATGAATTTACCTGAAATCTATGAATATTGTTCGCCAACCCCCCACCACTTGATTGGTATTTTGAATGAATTGTAAAACTATATATTAGTGTAGAGCCCAGGACGAAGGCTTAATTGTAAAGGAATATATTTCTTCGCTCAGTCGGTCTTTTTTTCAAATGTCTTAATGGGAATTTTCAATGTACTAAAATCCAAAATTTTAAACACATTCGCTTATTTTTAACCATCAGCTGCCCTAATGAGTTTTCTTTGAATCATTAGGTCATTCAGGATTGGAAATTGCTTTTTAAGATCCTAACTGAAATCTTATGATATAAGAGTACTGCTTGTATCCACATACTGCCGTGTAAGCTTGATTTTGCATTCTAAATAAAAAATAATAAAACAAATAAAGAAATTTATCATATTTACGCTACATAAAGCTTACAAGTATTAACCACTCCGGTTAACGTGAATGAAAGGTGGCCTCAGTAAGAAACAATTATGTATCTAGTAATCTCAATAATTGCTACAAAATTTGTGAAGTTGATGTATCATAATATAATATATATGATTTTGGAAACTATGTTTTGCACTTTCTTTTTCTTTATAGTTTGATGATTTTAGAACATGGTCAAAGTTATATCCAGAAGATGAACTTTTTCTCCTAGAAATTCGGTGTGAAGCTGGTACTTACATTAAAGAACTTGTACATGGTGATCTTGGCAGATGTAATCCTAGTTTAGCAAGTATATTTGGTCGTCAGTTAGATATATTGGCATTAGATGTGATTGCAGTTGAACTTGATTGGCCTAAACGTCTAAGCAATCCAACTTAGTTTGTATACTGCAGAAAAACTTGCCATTTCAAATTGTATAGCAAATCTTGTAAAATATAATTTTCTTGTGGAACGGTTTCCTGACTATTGAATTTGATAATCAGTTGAGCCAGTTTGATTGACTTCTTTTATCAAACTGCTCCTTTGATTTTGGTTACTTCACTATAGTCATTAGTTTAAAACAATGTACGTATGTTTATGCACTAAGCTATGAATCATGCTTGTGATATGGGATTCAAGCTTAGGGCTGACTGATTGAAAATTAAACTGTTAAGTAACTGAGTCGCACCTATACTGCACACTAACCTATATATTGTCAATTTTTATCAGTAAGTAAGCAGTACAACTCAAACAGATACATGTTTACGGATTAGGTAATACGCCATCTATTTTGTAAGACTGAAAAACAGAAATAAGGTAGATTGTCGCACACAAATGCATCGGTTCAGGTTGCCACACGATCATACAAATTTAAATAGATGGGAAAAACAGACAAAGGTTGCATAGGAGGGGAAAGAATTTGAAAATGAAGCTTAGTAAGGATATTCAAGCTTTAGAGGACATCAAAGAGTAAATAAGTCTCCGTCATTGTGACCGATTTTCAAACATGTCAGCAAGAGTCTGTAGTCATTGACTCCTACGGTTTCGAGGATCCCAGCTAGGTAGTCTACGTCTGCTCATATGACTCAGACCAGCAGTCGGAGACTTAAAGCACCGGTGATATATCCTGGTCTTGCCACTCTTAACTATCTTCCAACCTGATCCAGCTTCTCCTAGCATGCCACTTCGAGGTAGGTGTTGGCTCGATAAGAGTAATGCATATCCAACTCATATCAGCCACTAAAGGTTCACAACTTCAATCGACTTGCCTACTTATCTTCTCCTGACCTCGACACTGCTCAGACAGCAATCATACGATACGCGAGCAGTGATATGAAGATACCTGCGGTCAAAACTATGTAACCACTTCATATCTACTTTTAGCGGCCATATCTCAGCCGTACAACAGGATAGAACGAAATGCACCTCAATATACTCGTCTTTGAACAGTTTATTGGATATCTCACCAGTCAGCGCCAGAGATGATGCAAGTAGACAAATGCCAAACAGCCCTGACGTATCCAAGCTAAGGCTTCGTCACCAGCCAATCCGTTGGAGCCGATAAAATTCCCTAAGTAGGTTATATGGTCTACGCATTCCATCACTTCACTCTCTATCATCAAACCGGGAGTAGTTGCAGCAGACCAGTCCTGGAGTATCATCTTACATTTGATAGGTGCGAGATGCATGCTAAACATACGCAGATTTTTGCTCAATGCGTTCACAAAACTCTGCATTTAGCCAGCGTCTTCATTCGATAGGGAAATGTCCTCACACTCCAAGTCCACCAGATGGCCTCCAGGGTGTAGGTCAATTGCTGCATTAGTACATATATAACGAAGTGAAACGGGAACTGTGACGGCAGGCATTCCTGAAGAACACCACTATTTGTCAATTCAGATGACAACTCTTGATCAGCCTTTACAGATCTGCGTGGGCTCGAGTAGAGAGCTTTGATTAGCGTTATGTACTTGCTCGGTATTCCCTTCACAGTCAGGCAGTGCCACAACACATCTCGGTCGATAGAGTCGAATGCCGCCTTTAGGTCAGGAAATGTGACAAGTGTCGGTCACTGGTAAGCATTCTTGTGCTCCAGAATCTGTTGGAGGCTGAGATTCTGATTGGTGCATCCTCGTCCAGGTCGGTTAAGAAGTTTCTTGTAACAAGTTCGATCCCTGAAGTCAGACGAGGAGATGGAGACTTCGGTCTGTGACAAAAGTTTATAAGAATGGAGAGTGGTCACCTAACGTGCACCACTAGATGTACACAACTCACATGATACCTCGCCATGGGCTGTAGCAAGCCCACGGGTATTCAGATACAGGTCCTCCAACAGGTTGATATACCTACCCAGCACTTTCATTGAGAGACTGCCACAAGAGTTCTCAATCTGCAGAGTTGAATGGTGCCTTTAGGTTAAAAATGCACATAGCGTCGCGCTTCAGTGTGTTTGTGTCCCAAAACATGGCGGAGGGTGAATATCTGATCGACGAACTCACCTGTATGGTTTTCTCAGATTTGTTGTTCCGGACTACCACTCAGACGTGTCATAGAACCTACAACCTCAGACACAAGAGGATTTCTCCTCTTACTTCATGACTGGGCAATCAGTGATTGAGACCAGACAGAAGAGATAGTACGTGACTGCCATACGCTGCCTACCACTTCAGTTAATCTGACCAATAGTCCATGACCAAATACCCCCGGTAGTAGTCTACTTGAGCCTGCTACCCTTCCTCGTTTGTATATCTTTACGAAGTACTTGAAGATGGAAATGGATCAGGAGCGGTGGCCTTACCAAACTGAATAGGTGACTGTGAGACCCAAGTGACGTTAGTGACACAGCCTTTTCTGGAGTCTTGGATTCATATACGATTGTTACTCCTGGACAACGGGAACTCATACCGCCGGCATCGATACCTACCGAAAAGAGTGGGCGACATCGACTTGGAATATCTGTTATCTGGGTGAAATACCTTACTGTTGCTACACCTCATAGGGTCACCAGTACAACTTTGACGTAGCGTAAATTATTAGCCCTGTGATGATAACTGGTTTTAGCCTTACCACTATTAATCACATCTTTCTGGCATGGTAGGACATCAAGCAATAATTATCACAGCCAGCGCTGCTCGTTGGGTCACTGTGATAGGCAAAGGCAACCACCACGTCACGGTAGACGCTGTCTAAATACCATATCACTGATACCTATTTCATGACTTCAAGTGCCATTAAAGATTCGCCCACTTGGAGTTCGGGAGCAAATATAGAAATAATTCCTATGCTCCAAAATGTTAATCCTAACCAAAAAAAGTTTCCATAGGAATTTTGAAACTATTACATAACTTATGCCTATTGTTTCGGTTTGAATCTCACAGCTCTCACTGAATACTTTCGATTGCACTGTCCACACTTAATGCCTATAATTTCAGTTCTTTTTCTACTAACAGGAACTGCCTTCTTCGACCGATCATCTACTCACTAGATACGTTCACTGCTATTGTTAGATAGACAAGGAGAAAGCTTACAAACAAGAGGTAGGGGTGATGGTGATCTGTTAGTTTTGAAATGATGTCCAAGTACCTTGCAATAATAAATTGTTTAAATTAGTTTGTTTACTACTGTAGTACTTGGATAGGCTGCTTCGATTAATTTAACTAGGTTTTTGTAGTGATCATACTAAGCTAAGTAAATCCAATTTTACTACGAATTTGTGACAAAATTAGGAATCGATGAACCAAATCTCAGTAGGGAATAGTAAGATCGAAAAGACGACATTTTCTTGATCAAAATATCAACTGACTGAATATCAATAGGATGCTCATGTAATACGATATAGCTGACATTATAATGATCTCTATGTATCATACACTTACATCATAAACACCTCATCATTGACAATTTCTATAATCTCCAAACTGTTTGATTAATTCCCAGTAACACTGACTCATCTGGATGATAAGCTCCAATCTTATGCCATGGAAACAGTCTTTTGCTGATCAAATAACTTTAATTCCACTGAGAAATCAGCTGCTGACTGATGGGGGTGAAGTTCAGTTTTAACGTTATAGTTTCTCTTCAAGCAATTCTTTCATGCTTTAACAAAAGCTTCCAACCCCCGAAAAATGACGGGAACAATAATAAATAAATTTATAAAACATTGTGGTATTCTGATTTCTTATAAATAACGAAATGAATCAAAACAGAACAGGTGTCAGTTAAAATGTTCTTGAATGTATCCAATATTTTAACTCAACAGGACAATTTGGATAGGTATTTAGACATGATGCTAGAATATCACTGTCAACATAACAAAACAGAGGACGATAATTTGGTAAGACAGAGGTTGAAGAAGTGTAACCAGTTTTACAGCCAGTAGACGATAATCCAAAGGATGCCATTAAAGCAGCTTTGCCCGATATAATGAGTTCAGAATCGATCAAAATGTCGAGAGCTTTCATGACAACTGTTTTATCATATAAATGACCGGGACAATTAGAACGACAAAACTTTAAATATTCTGGAAAAGGAACAAAAAAAAGAGAAATCAAGGCAGTAAAACGTATAGAATGAAACTCGAGCAAACATCGTGGTGAGTTAATATAATTGTCTACCAAAACCTTAAGATACGCTTCAACTCGAAGTCATCTTGAGTGTCAGGGAATATTATCTCCCTAAAATAGCGCCTGGAACTAACAAGAAACCAATTATTCTCCATCAGACCATCTAGGAAATTCCGAACGCCTACCAACTTCCCAATCTAGCTCCACAAACTCGCATTTAGGCTAGTCATTATCAATACGAAGTAAGTGTGTATAATATCCACTGCTTTTGACTTGTTTCGATTTACTAAACAACGGAGTCAATAGATAGAAACAAGCATCCGGAACCAGTTTTTGAGTCAGTGTTCATTTTTCAATTCATAGTCACATCATACTGGTCTAATTCCAGCTAATATTACAGGAAGTGCATTCGAACTTACTACAAGCAAGTTAAAAAGGGATTACCTAAATTGAGCAGTCATTTCAAACGCTTTGGATAAAACTTCAGAGGATGGAACGAGGCATTCAACTTCGTTGGATAGTTATCTAAAAAGATATGCCTCAAATTTAACGAGTCAGTACAAAAGAAATTGTTCCATCTAACCATTCAGATACCTGCTTCACGTTGAATAATAAATATGCACATGAATATGATTGTGGATCGTATGGAGAACCTAATTGAACAGCTGAAGTACTTTAATATTGAGTTCATCAAATTTTATATAGCAAACAGTGAGCCCGTAGCTCACTGATCTGGAAGCCTGATTTCCAACTGATGGGCAAAGGCTTCGAACTCAGCTCCAAATACCGAGGATTAAGGATCCAGGTAGTTTCCTTGGCCTTTACATAATAGGTACGGCTTATTGCCTACTGAGGGAGTGGGTGTAAGGTTACTGAGTGGATTTCGATATAGCAAACAGTATTATGCGATGGACAAGGTTCAAACACAATTTATAACCTACAAGGACATGATTATGCGTAATAAATTGTGCTTAAAACGTTGTTCAGAAAATAACACCCTTATATGAAACAAATAGCACTTAATTAACTCTGGTTATTGAGGATAATCATGTTATTAAACGTCAAGAAACCAAAGCCTTATGAGCTTTTTCCTCTAAACATAGAAAGAGAAGTTTTCCACATAATACGACTCTAGTTCGACTTCAATAAAATTTTGTTCAAATCAATTAATTAACACCAACGCAAATCAACCACGTGGGACCGATCAGAACTTCTTACAATTTTTCAACATCATTTGTCAACCAAGCAACTGTTTATCACAGTTAGTAGGCTAGAAAATATCAGTATTTAAAACTCTCTTACCAGAATACAAGCTTTCGAAATTCACCGGTTTTCCATCATTAATATCCTGCAGCTTGACCATAGCTGTGATTAGGAATAGTTCCAAAACAGAAGAACCTGTGAAAAGTACAATTAAGAGTTAAAAAGTGGTTATTCACTTTTTGTAAACAACCAGATGGAAATTAAAAGTCAGCAAGTGAACAACAAAATATGACATAACAAACTATAAGATATCCAACAAACACACGAGTTTATGCATCAGGTAATGAGTCACATTTATTATCCAACAACTTATTGTATCAAAAAAGTCAAGTGAGCAACTGAAATCCGTTACTGAGTAAAAAGATATCACTCCTAAATGTAAAAATCTTATACATAGTAATAATTTATCCATTAGCAAATTATCACCTGTTCTGCACATCATCATATCCACTTCTTGTGCTTTGCATTCTGATTCAATATTGTGTGTTCACTTCACCAGATTTCTCACCGATTCGTCGTTGTCACTTTCGACGCTGCCAATACATGCTGCCTATATGCATTCTTATAAATAACTCTTACTACACTTGTCCCACCTTTAAAGGATTGAAGCAAAGATTTCGGCAGGGAAACTTCTCTGTGCGACGATTTCATTTCCAAAAGCTGTACAATCCTATATATATTTAAGTTGGAGTACAAAATAGCAAATTTGTTCGTATGTGTTTCATTTTAACATTCGGAATAGTGCACTAATATGAATGAGGATAATATTTCATGCATCATCAAATCAACTGGAGAAATTTAAGAGAATAAAGGTTAAAGACTCAAGATGGGCGCGCAAATGAGCGAATGAATACATTGTGAATACAAATATGAATACCGGTCAGACAAAATGTGATACGATAAGGATCAAGAGGAGTGCAATTAATATGACAAAATAAAATGGTACTGAAGGGTGATTGAAGGTGAAATGAAAATCAAACTAACAAAATAAGATGGATTGGAATCGAATAAAATAAATTAAGAAGAGCCAGTTGTAACAATCATATGGTCAAAATGGTAGGCTGGGTCCAGAGTAGTGAACACGACCGTACAAACTGTTTCTGGACGCACAGTTCTGATTTAGGATTATGTATCGCCGGGGCTTCTGCGGTACAAAATAGGTGTGGGCGTGCACATTTCGATAAGTTTGGTCTGATCTTGTAAATAATGTTAAGTGATGATTCAGAAGCAGCACGTTTGTAGTCAACTACATGTTGGAGGATAAACGAATTTATACCTCTAAGTTCCACTTTGCTCAGCCGTACTGAGAGATGCTCTCGGATGTGACCGCAAATGTTTGTTGATGAACATCCTATGCACCTAGCTCCACAAGAGTAGGTGAAGGTGCACATCCACATCGAGCGAGATAATCGAGGTAACATTTCCTTAGCGCTAAGATGGACGAAAAGGTGGCTGAAATGAGTAATTTTTAGAGACGTAGCATAGAATGTTTTTCCTACTGACCTTGTTAGATGGTTCTTAAGTGGTTCGTCTGCAATATCACCTCTAAATTAATGCCGTTCTTCTTTCTTGGAACGATAGATATATCCAAATGTCTTTTTGATGTATACTGTATACTCTAGAAGGTGGTGGGTACCCGTTTATGAAGTTTTGTTTCTAAAGGTTTAGCTCATTCTCCACACTATCTTCTGTACAGATTTTTGGACATTGACGAGAGACAATGGCCCAAATTTCTTTTCCTTCCTACAAAAACAAAGCAATGGAAATTTGCTATCTGCCTATCCTCCGTTGATTTCCTGTAGATTGGTCTGTCCAGAGATTCATCAGGCTTCCTCATCATTAGCACATCAGGAAATAGGATTTTAGAATCCCTTTATTCTTTGAGAGTGAATTTAACTGATGGGTGGCAATCACTAAATGTTTTCCATGTGCTTGACAAATCATAGATATGATAACAGGAACATGCAATATTTTATGAGAATGCGAAGCCAAAGAAGCGGGTATGATATGTAAATGGATAGATCATTGTTAGGTGTAGGAGTTTTACCTTTATTGATAAAGGTTTTCAACCACTCCTTGGACTTTTTATGGATAACTCTGACTACTTTATTACTATGCTCCTCCAACCTAGGAGGGTGAAGCATAGTTTGAACTAGTAGGAGGTTGAGTGCTCTCAAGAATTAGATACTGCTCTACTGCATACGAAGACATTAAATCAAGGCAAGACAGCTAATAAGATCAAAAACCAATTTAGTCTGTTTGTTAGAAATATCATACAGTGAAACACTACCGTCTTCAGTAAATGATAGTTTCTTTGTGTGACATTTCCAATAAACAGACAAAAATGGAATTACAATCTACCACAGTGCCCAAGTTTTACTCTTATATTAAAGATAAAATAGTTTTCAATAACTATAAATATAACCAGTTTTGGCAGAAAAACTCATATGCATGCTCTTTGACTATACATCTGTGCTGACTAGATTATTTATTGCACAATGCCTCAGGGCAGTTTCAACAGCTTTAGCTTCTGTACTGTTGCATCTACTTCGATTAGTGGAACAAAGTGTACAGAAGATTCCAATAAAATACGAATGGATCAAATTACAGTCAGTGTTAGGTATTAAATGTCAGTTTAAACTCAAAGAAAATTTAAGCACTGAGTAAGAGACACCTATTATCTCGTAGTTCGTATTCTCCAATAAACAAAAAAGACTAATTACTGAAGTTCCACCATTTAGCACTAAATCCCTCATTAAAGAAATGCAAACCAAAATTCACGACATAGCATATACGTTATCAATCTAATCCCTGGAGGTTATCTGGTTGTCTTGGATTATGCAAACGATATTGTCCCGCTGAGTGAAGACGCTAACAAAATGTAGGGTCTTCTGAACTCTGAGCAGAACGCGTTGAGCAGAAATCTGAGTATCTTTTACATGCTTTTCGCGCCTGTCAAATGTATGGTGATGTTCCAGGGCTGATCTGCACATGCTCGTAGAAGTTGAATGCATCGGCCACTTCGCTTACTTGCAAAGTTGCATCAGCTCGAATGGGCTGGCCGCTGACGAAATCTCAGCTCGGTTACGGAACCCCCATTTGGCATTTGCCAACTCGCACCACCTTAAGCGCCAAATGGCAAGATATCTGACTAACTTATCAAAGGAATAGCACGCTGAGCTGCAGTCCGTTCTGTCCTGTTATACGGCTGAGACATGGTCGTTAAAAATAGAAGACATGAAGCAGTTACAGGGTTTTGATCACAGGTATCTTCATATCACTGCCCGCAATTTGGTGGGATCACCGAGTGGGCAGTATTGAGGTCAGACGAAGGTAACTAGGCAAGTTGATTGATGAGATTGTGAACTTTCAGTGGTTAACATGGGTTGGATATGCATTGGTCCTGTCGAGCGCGCCTACCTCAACGTGCAATGTTGGGCGAGGTTGTATTAAGTTAGAACATAGTTCAGAGTGGCGAGACCAGGATATGGCACCAGTGCATTAAGTCTCTGACCATTGGTCTGAGTCGTGTGAGCAGACGTAGACTTCCTGGCTGGGGTCCCCGAAACCGTAGGAATCGATGGCTGCATACTGTTGTTGACATGGTTAAAAATCGGTCACAATCGCGGAGATATCCTCTAAAGCTTGAATATTTGCAATAACAGCTATCTTCAGATTATCTCACACAACTTTGTCTACTTTGATATCTGTTTTTCCCATGCACTTATTCATCGTATATTACTGTGAATTGTGACAACTTGAGCCAATGCACTTGGGTGTAAGGTTCTATGTTGATTATATCTGTCTATCTGATATTATAAATCAGTTTTATCATTCATTTTAAAATGTTGGTTACCAAATTGTCTAGTACATTAAGCATGATAAGTGTGTGAATTATGACTTAAGATCTGTAGTTTATTTAGGTATCTCTATAAAGTTTATTTCAAACACATTGTTTTCCTCAGTTTGTAGAGAAGTTGAAATTCTGATGAAGTTTAGTTTTATTCCTCCATTCTGATTTATACGATGTTGATCACATTCTGTATGAAGAGATTTTGCTACAAAAATTTACTTGTAATCAATGAACCCTCTTTAAACGACTACAATACTTTCAAAGTTGAATTTATAATCTGATACTTATAGTACATAGATTTACGGTTGAAATTTTATCAATTTTTTTGATGTCTACTGGATCTATGGAAAGCCGCAAGTAAATCCTTTCACTACTGATATTTTATACATTGAATTTTTTGAGAAACTTACCCTGTGTTTATGGTGTAGCAGTGAGCACAATTAGATGATAACTTCTGAGAAATACTGTCCTTCACATAGACTCCGTAGTGTGTTAGGTGTTATGAAGAAAAATTTGGTGCTACATTTGTTGGACATTTACTTCTAAGTGTGCAAACCATATATGATGACTACTGTTGTAACTCACGATTTCGGAGTATTTCTCTAGTTTCGTTTAGTATTGATTTCAATTTTTATAATTAAGCCTACTGGATGATCATTTATCTTAATTCTCTTTTTTTCTTTTCGCCCACTAATTATGCTATCCTTAAAAGACTGTGGATAGCAGAAACCCATACACTGGTCCTTCAAAATACGAATATTTGTTTCAGTGTATTGTCTTGTTGAGAACAGTTACATTTAAATCCTCACTGTCTTCTTTCTTTACTAGACAGCTTTAAAAAGTCAATTGATCCTTTTGAGTTGTGTAGGATTACTGTTTCATCCATCTAAGAAAATGCAATGTACATTATGCTTTAACACCGCAAATAAACGGGTCAAAATGTGGTAGCTAGATTTTAAATCGAAGGGTGGTTACGGGGACGATTCAAGCTAAATCATGAACAGATCAAGTGCCATAGCCTAACACACAACTCCCTCATTAGTCAGCCGATATAATTTTCAATTTAAAAGTTTGTGAGGAGTGGTTGACTGAAAGGTAATATTCACCACAGATTGACATCAGCTGGAAAAACGTTGAAAATCTGGGAACACCGGAATGTTGTTTCCGTCCTAGTATGGGACTCCTTAGGAGTGTGTCACCACGACCCCGCTAGGTCTCGCATCTAGCACGTTACAATTCAGCCGCTAGGTTAGAACACAATCGTTCACGTTTTCCTACTGTTTTCGATTCGTCATACAGAGTAACCATCACTGGGTTTCAACCCAGTGGCTGGATGGCCGAATGCTGATCGTGAAAATTGACGGTCCCAGCTGAGATCCTTGGGAGGCCATGAATGCAGACCGATAGGAAGTCTCATACTAGGCAGAAACAGTTGTCTAGTGCTCCCAGATTCTTTATGGTTCTCCAACCGATGTTAATCTGTGATGAATGCTATCCTGACATATGATCCGCCTTCAAAAGTAGAGCTCCTAAGCAAATTTCTAAGGTATAATCATATCACAAGTATACAGTAGACGTTATTCTGTTAAAGTTATAACTGAATTTACAGAAAGTAACTACGCTTTCATTCATTGTCAACTCTCGTTAGAATTTTCTCTTTCCTTGTATTTTGGAAAGACTGTAATACTAGTCATAGATAATAAATGGCAAATATTCTGGGCCATCTCCGATAAAATCTCAAACAGAGTTGCACGATCTCTGTAATCACAAATAAGTAGCGGTGGTGCATGAGCGGATGCTAACCTAACAGAACTATAATTATCTTACAACGCTTCTTCTCAGTTCAAAGGAAAAGTGATTGATATGTAAGTTGTAATACATATGTTTGCTATCACAGCAGGTGTTAAGGAGGAATAGGCTGATTGAATGATGATATCTATCGTTTCCAAACAAACTCAAAGAACTTCAAAATAACTTCGATGATATTGTCACCAGATAAAACGATCCTGTCGAGACAACAGTGGTCGAATAAGAGTTGTCAAACACTCCTTCACAAAGGCTAGATTTCACATAACTAAAGCAGAACCACATGGAAGCACTGTATTCACAACCCTTTTCTATGACACTAATGTTTCAGTGGCATGAAAGTTGACCTAGAATAGAGTATGCAGCTCTCATTTCAGCCAAATGTGTGCTAACCTCAACTGCCAAGCTCCCTTCAGTACAAAGACGATTACCAAAGTAAACGATTTAACAGAATAATTTTGACACAACCACCGAAACTTTTACCAATCTCGTCAGGTATTTCGACCGTAAAAAACATACAATACTAACGGATGCTCATAGCAACTGACTTACTGGATTTAAATTGAGTAGTATTAGTAGTAGTACGATATTGCATAGTAAAGCAACACAATCCAAATAATCCAGATCGAATTATTTTTATCCGAGTAGTAAAATTACATCACCTACAACATGCACCTCTTTCAGATCTGTCTGAACAATTGCAAAGGTAAGGAGTAATGACAGAATCGAATGATTGTTTCATCCTACTACTGGTTTGGAACCGATGTCATTGCTTACCGTCACTTTTCCGAAATTATCTTTGCATGCAGCAGTTTTGATTTGGGGCAACGCAACGATCATTGACCTGCAATACCTCTGAAAGTGCTCATGAATTAGGTGGAGGATAAACTTATGGTTAAATAGTAATTAGATACTTCGTATCGGTTTTAATAGTTAACCAATAATCAGATAACTGCAGCTTATACAGCAACGTAAGTAATTAAAACAGTATTATACCGTTACTTTAGCACAACCAAGTTATATATAGTGCACAAAGAGCTCTATCCACGTGCGCTCGTGATCATGTACCATCTTGGTTAGGGAAAGGAATGATGAAGAGCATCAACAATGCAATTCTCTTACATCCAGTAGATACTGAACATCAGATCAAGGTAGGTCACACCTTTTCTGTGACATACCGGGTCCCCCGCAATCTCCTAAAGGTGCACAACTACGCATCTTATCCATAGCCGAAGCCATAGGGATCAACGCAAGAAAACCGGACCTATGTGTTCAGAAGAAATATGTACATCCAATTTGCATACCTTGGCCCACAATAGGGTCGACACGTTCTTTATGAACTTTCCTACCACGAAGTGAATATTTTAACCACCCACCCCTTTCTTCCATATTGTCATTACATTGATAAATATCATTTTCTTTTGTTATTGGTTTTTTATGCCCCTTTATTCATACACTACCGACAGTCGTTTTCAATCGTGACTTAACACTTCACATTTTTTTTATTCTCCATTGCGTTATAGTATTCACATGATTTTCATCCCCCTCGTCCCCTCATCGCTAAGTAATTATTATTTGACCCTTAAACACACACACTCATGCTCCAATAAATATATATGAGTCATTAACTGTAGATTTTATCTCCTCATTTCGTAATTGTTCTGTCAATAGTGATTTCACTGCACAACTAACACACCAGACTGATAAACATCCCGCCATTCCATTCGATTTGTTCTCCGTTCCCCATAACGCTGACTGTTTCAATATAGTAATAATTGTACATCATGCCTTATTTTGGCTACTGTATTTCACTTATTCTCATGGATTTATAACTGCAGAGTCTGAAGAAGTTATTGAAAAAAATTGTTCGCTCAAATTATTGTTCTGAATGATCTACGGGATCTTCAAACTATTACAATCAAAAGAGTTGTTTTCCTTGATGAACTTCTAGTCATAGTGGTGAAACAGGAAATCATATGACGAAAAATGGCATTATGTTACATTAATATAAGTGTAAAACTTGGGCACTGTGATCGAGTGTAATTCCATTTTAGTATGTTTATTAGAAATAACACACAGTGAAACAGTAGCATTTACTGTTTACCAGATTCCTTGCAATGATTGTGAGGTCAAGTACATAGGTCAAAACAGTCGACCAGGGTCGATTAGAATAACAGAGCACAAAAACTTAGCTAAATCAAGATCAGTAGATCTTAATAAGATAAGAAATCTAGAGAAAAACTCGGCTATAGCTCTGCATGCGATGACACACAATCACAAAGTAGGGTAGGATAGGGTGACAGTTTTGAAAACTTAGTTGAGTGGAGGGAGAGATTAATAACCGAATCTTTGTTTATCGAATCAACACCAAACACATGCAATCGAAATGATGCTGCACCTGTCCCAGATATATGGAAAATTCTACCACCCTTGTCATCACAGAGGAGAGAAAACTAGGAATATATAAAGACTGTCTCGAAGTTGTGGAGTTACCTGATATGAACATGGACAACAAATTATGTCCGAAACGTTATCCAGTAAATGCTACTGTTTCACTGTGTGATATTTCTAATAAACATACTAAAATGGAATGACATTATGTTATTCTGCTAATGGTGTTCTCATTGAGATATTCACATGCATATAGAAAATCAATTACATGAAATTACTTTCCGACTGGTGTTAGATTCACCTGAATAAACGCACTCGGAAGCTGTGTAAAGTCAGAAGACCGTTTAGCTTTTTCGTAATAGTAATTAGTGGTTCCATATTCAATAACAATTCATAAGTAGTCTTGTGCACTTACATTTGATATGATTTAACAGTAAACAACAAAAGCTACAGTTGGCAGATCGTGAAAATAACTATTTCAACATGGCTGAATGCCAATTCATCACCCCGACCATCAGATAATATTGAACGATCAGAAAACAACAGACAGCCAATCAGAAGAAAGCGGTATTTAACGTCTTAAATTTAAGTTAGTGATGGTTAGTTAATGCAACAACATCGAATGTTACAAGTGGTGACCCTATCAGTCGGATGATTTAATTCAACGAAGTAATGATACCATTGAGTAACAACGCACAGAGCAGTGTATTACAACATAAATCAAACGTGGTAAAGTCGGTGACACTGTAGGTGAAATGTGATTCAAACCTGCAAGCCAGAGAGTGGGAGTGGACCGTCTAAAATAATTATCTCTAGCGTGAAACCCCGGTAATAATAGTATTTCGCAGTTAGATGACTACGGCATCTTAGAATTTCGCACTGTAAATGTGCAGACAACTGAAACAGAATATTCATTTTTTGAATAAGCGAAGTGAAATACTATTTTTAACTAACCTTTAAGTGCAGTGACTTTTGAATCTTGCTGGAGCATCGATAAAGACTCAAAAAACTGGATGGGTTCAATACGATCATGTTCAGGACTAAGTGAAGCAACTATTGGAATCTATCAGAAGCAAATACATTAACAGGAAGAATAAAATCAGTTTTCACTTAATAAACAATGTGGAATAGTAAAGAAGTGAAAAAAGTGAGTCTTTCATATGGAAATTATCGTTGGATGCACTGGAATTGGTATATTCGCATACTTCTATATCTTTAAACGTATAGTAGAATGCGCTTCGAAACGTGCGCTCACCATAAATTTGCGCATGTAGCTCCCCTATGCTACTATCAGTGCTGTATTTAGTTGACATTTAATTAAAACTACAGTTCCAGTGTCAGTTATCAGTTATCTATCCAAATAAGTTAAAATCCTACTTTCCTTCTATAATGTACTGCAAGATAGTGAGCTTAATACACATTCATCACTTTATGATATGAACGTACTAGTTTCATATTCACTATTCTTTATTCTACGAATAAAATCATTCAGAAGTCAATAGCCGAGGTTGATATTTCTCCAAACAATATCATCCAAAAAAGAACTGGTAAACCAGTAGAAATCAGTAGACCATTAAATCGAAATTCATATCCACTAGATTGTGCTAATTATGAATTCTTTCGTTCAGTTCAATAAAAATGTGAATCCTTTTGAAGTGTTTCAGCTCAGACTTTTGTCCAATAGCTAAAGAGTTATGAAACTATCACAGTTTCCTAACTACACTTTAAGCTATTTTATAACAGAACTTGCTGAGACAAAACGTCGGATAAAGTAAACCAATTACCGATAAAATAAAATTGAACACTATCAAAAAACAGGAGATTTTCGCGAAAAAGTTGGGAGAGTAAAACACTGTTTAGATAGCAAACGATAACAACATACCAATAAATTGATTAAATGTCTTATGCTCACTGAAGTAGACCATGCTTGCCGTAATGAATCAATGACAATTTCATCTGCCATCACTTTTGATATATGATTATTCCATGATTTAATCAGTGACTCTAATTCTCGAAACTCTTTAGAATTAATTTTTAATGATAATTGTGTTAGATCATCAGTATCAATACTCAAAAAGTGTTTACAAATTTCACAAAACTGTTTAAATGGCTTTGATAGCGTATTCGAATCTTCATCATTCGAAGTATACGAATCAATATTATCAATTGGCGCTGCTGGTGATGTAAGATAAATTTGACGATGTGAAAACCTTGACTTAACACGTTTCTCTAACAACTCCATAATATCCTATATTTTGAAAGTAGAAGAGGGTAGAGTAGAAGCAGAATGAAATTATTGATAAATATTCAATTTAACAAAGACTTGTAAAGCATGCCAAACTGTTACAGTCATACGAATTTGTAACCGAATGGAGATCTATGCTACAGTCACAAGTGCTAACCGTAAGTTAATAGAAGGGAAAATACAAATGGGTCATTAATATACATAGCATTATATTCAGTAATGAATACTTGTTACATGTCACCAATCGATACCTGTCCATAGACGTTTCATCTGTGATTGGAAAAGTTCACATAGAAGCATTAAGCTGTAAAACTAAAGGATATTGGTTCATTAAATACAATGGTAGTATGAGTTCCATTTTAGTTTGTTCATTAGAAATATCACACAGTAAATGATACTACTTCATTGAGTAACGTTTCTAATAAACAGACTAAAAGAAAACTACAATCTACCACAGTCCCAAAGGCAGTATGAATTCTTTAAAATTATCAGATGCAATCATGTAATCCTCATCGGAACATATCAAATTTAAATCCAGGGTTTTACTAACTCCTTTCAACCATACGTGACAGTTATAGTTTCTTCATTGGTTGTGCAGTTATCTGATGAACGAGCGAACCAACTATACCTGACTGATACGTTTCAAGTCTGAAAATACAAATTTGTTCCTAAGACAATTATATTGTAGGAAACGAGAAGACTTAAACGAAGGAAGGAATGTTTGTTACTAACATCCTGCACAGTAGTCACTATATATGGTATACCTTGCACTAAGTCATTTGCATAATGTGTTTCATTTCCTGTTTTGCTTCTATCTTGGTTTTTGATATTAATACGCCCATATTGTCCTCGCGTTTCTGTGGGCAAAATATTTACCCACTGCTGGTAATTACCTATGATTTCTGCCGCCCTCTCAACATATACTACTTATATCCATTCTCATCAGCACTGCCCACTACAATATAATACGAAAATATAATGAATCATATCACCTGCATAAGTCGTTAATCAGATATACCGAAAAAACCAAATTATCCAATTCATCTTGACAACAATTTAGAAGCTTGATTCGCTGTATCTGTTTTTCGAGTTTAACTTTACTTGAAATGCCTTAAACACACGATATTTTCATGTCCATAGAATTGCTACCTGACTGCTGTCGATAGAGGATACTGAAAGCGCAATAACGGTACCCTAACGAACTGCTTGGCAGTATGACCATAAAAAGTAGAAACATTGTTACAGTAACCTTTTGATAACTAAAAAGTAAGTGATTATTTTTTATACAACTCCATATTGGTTTAATTTTAATAAACTTGATGGGCTATCCATTCAAAAACATTTTAGTTCAAAATACAATCTACAGATCACGCATATGTGTTTAGATGAACAATGAAAGTCAACACTACCAAAGATAAAACACGTTAGCAACAATAAATCAAACAAACCCAAATTTGTGAGCTGAACTATGGACATTTCTGGCAGCTAATAAACCTCACTAAAGCGAAGCCTAAAATCACCAGAAACAATGGTTTATTGCTTATAGAATAAATGCCTAGGCAAGTGAATCACACTCCTATGGTAAGAAATTAGCTACTCCAAAGTTCAGTTGATAAATACAGGATAAATATGATGCACATAAACTAGCCTACTCGTTCACACTAACTAGGTCAGACTATCGATCTGTAAGCTGTAAGCATTGTAATACATTCAGATGGTCAGTTAACAAGATTGATCAAACTGCTCCTAAGAAAAAATAGGCAGGCAGTTACATTAACTGCAGCTTTATAAAAGAGTCACTGATGTGAAGTATGACAATTTCTTGTCATTCAGAAAAACGTAAATAGGTATTTTATAACTGTCATTAAGAAAAACTGCATCTTTAAAGTTAGAAAACTATTTTCTGAATAAACTTTATAAGCAATGCATTGGATTGAATCTGTTCAAAAGTTAAACAGTTATCTAATTAGACCAAAGAACAATAAATTCCAAGATGACTCTAAAAATATTTGAACTAGTCTTTTGTGAAGAAAATTGTACGAAGGCGCGATAACTTACTAAGCGGCATGTTAGTCCAACTACACAAATTCTAGATCCAACAGATTGACAACAATCGAACAGATTGTACAGTAGTAACTGATTATGATGTAAGGTGAACAAATCAAATTCACTAAGGACAATTAAAACAGCCTTCTTAAATCCATGGTTTTCATTGACCTCGTTAAGAAATAAGCTAAGCTGCTGAGAAAAAGGTAAACTCTTCATATTACTGTGGGCTTCAGGAGTGAATTTATCATCTGATTGACCGACTAGATTGTCTAACAAGGCTTCATTATGTAGTTGTTTTGCTAACGACTTCATTGCGGAACGGTCATCAGTATGAACTAAACCTACGATATTCGAAAATCGCTCTTCAAAATAAAAAAAAAACCAACCATTTAAGTAAACCTCAGAAATCCCGGAGTTGACATGTAGGTTTTCGCTTGCTCTTTTTACGGCTTCTTTGAGTAGCTAAAAACAGAAAGTTACATTATATGAACTTACGTGGTGTTTACCAACACCTCTTCGACCAATTATCAATATAGAGCTGCTTTCTCCTTTCTCGACTGTAGATGTGATGACATTTTGCAAATATTTCAGCTCTTCATCAAAATAAAGAAGGCGATGTTCATACCCCCTTAATTTTCTGCGCAATATATCTGAAATAGTATCCATTTATATTGCTTCACTTTGTCAAATCTCAGCAGTCAATCTTTTTTTATAGAAATTAAGTGATGATCGTTGTTTGATATACACCAAATCATATAGTAAACTTGAAGACTAGCTACTGGCGAAACCAAAACTCTGCAAATGAAAGTGACATGATCAAGAAAAAAAAGAAGCAAAGACTAGTTTATGAGTAAGTAAATAGCAAAAGAAGTACCTAGGCAACAGTGAAAATCCTTGGTTATGATTATTAAACAAGGATGGTAACAGTGATCCATGAGTTGGTAAAATAAAAAAATTTGAACACTAACACAGTTCATAGGCACTTGCATTTGTAAACAGCTCAGCAACTGTGTAAATATAAACACTAATCTATGAGCCGTACTTATATTAAGATGAATAGTGATAAAAACTGGTCATATAAATTTAAAGATTCATACCAAGATTTTAATCAGTGACTTACTGGTTGAAAACGGAGTTGCAGCTTCACAAAAGGTGACCAAACAGTGTTTCTCCTACTCGACAAGTCTACTGTTTGAAAACCCTGTAATTTCTATTCAGTATTTTCATAACATCATTTATATTCAGAAATGAAAGATTTTAGAGATAAAAGTGGCCTTAATGTGTCTTCGAGAAATTGTGGTAAGATAAAATGAGCTTGGGAAAGGTGAACTGAGATGACTGATACACAATACCAACTCATGGGCAAGATCTCGGCTTGTTTAGCTTTCACCAGTTTTATTATTTGAAGTAAAAGAAACACAGACACGAGAAACAGTTAATAACTAAAGAAACTTTAAACAGCGTAATGAGAAGACGAAGATTATCTGAAACATGTGATGTATTAGCGCTATACATTTCGAACAATCTGATCACACATGGACTTGTCGAACTATTTATATGAAAATTTACGAAAAGGTCAATGAAGTTAATGAGAAACATAAGAATAGGAAGGGATAGAAAAAAAGGAAAACCTTATTCTTGGTATGAAAATTAAAATCAATACTACCAAGGTAGGTTCAACGTGAGTACAAATTGTTTTTGTATACATAAAGGGGGTTTAAATTTACGGATGGCAAGAGCTTCAATAAATTTAAGCACTCGGCTCTGACCACTTTTATGTAGTACTTTGAAGGCTGTTTTCATGTCTATCCTATGGTTAGTTTCTAGTATATGTTTAGCGATAGACGAAGATGGATGTTTGTCACCTGCACTTATCGGATCTGTTGAGGTCATTTATTTTTGTAGCCACTTAGGTACATGTTCAACCTTCCTTAACTGCATATCACGATTACTCCTCCCTATATATGTGTGTCCACACATACATGTAAATTGATAAACACAGTGGGATGTGATGTAATCGTTTATATGTTGTTTTGGTTTGTGCTGTAACATGGACTTGGTCTTCTCTACAATGATGACCTTAGCTGCATAATACGTTTTACAGATGGCCGATCTAAGTCTTTTCCTCACAACAAAGCTATGTGAATCACCTCTAAATGGTAATGAGATGTAGACATTTTTCTTAGCAACGGAACACTGTGTACTTTTCAATGGTACATAACTTTTGCACCGGTCGATAAATCTCAACGGGTATCCATTCTGTATCAGAGTTGTCGTCAGTAAGTTGGTTTCTTCCTCCCTGGTGTCATCGGTGCAGATACGGTTTATCCTGTTGAATAAGCATCTGACTAAACCACGTTTATATTGGACTGGACAATAGCTATGGAAATTAAGATATTGCCCTGTCCATGTAGGTTTCTTATAGATCGACCTCCTGATCGAGCCATCCTCCCGTCGACTGAGCAATACGTCTAGGAACGGTAGCTGGTTGTTCGTCTCTTGTTCACAAGTCAGGCTAATGTGATTCTGAGCCGTGTTCATTTTCTGTAGCAGGCACATTGCATCATCAGGCTTTTCACATATAATGACTATATCATCAACATATCTCTTATAAAGTGAAACCCTTCCGATGAGATCGTCAGCCATGTTTTCAACATATGACATGTATACATCAGCTAGCAACGGTCCTAATGGACTGCCCATCGCGACACCATCAATCTGTTGAAAGTGTTCGCCCTCGAATGTGAATTCAACTTTATCAGTGCATAATAACAATAAATCTTTTAAAAAATTAATAGGGATAGGGAATATAAGACTGTTAGAAGAAATATAGTCACATAAAATATCAATTGTTTTTACTAGAGGTACATTAGTAAATAAAGAATTTACATCGAACGAGTACATAGTCTTATCCTTGATATTAATATCATTTAAACAGTCAATAAGGTCAAATGTATCTTTCAATGAGGACTTACATAAATGGCTTCTGACAGGATTCAAGAGCTTTGCCAACCATTTGGCTAGATTATGTGTGGGTGATCGACATATAGACAATATTGGACGCAGTGGGTTGCCAGGCTAATGAGTTTTAGGTAACCCATATAGATGTGGATGTGGGTTTCATAATCCTGGTCCAAGACAGAAAAGCATCTTAACGCGTGAGCATTTCCAAGCACTGAAAGGATTACGAAATAACTCTGATATTGTCGTACTAAAACCCGATAAAGGATCAGGTGTGGTCGTTATGAACACGTCTGATTATAAAAGTAAGATGTTATCTATTCTCAGTGATGAAAGCAAATTTACGTCAGATGCCCCCTGTGAGGGATACGTAAATTGGAAGGCAGAGTAAATTCTAAACTTGTGAAAATGCTTGGTATGAATTTAATCAATAAGGAGGAATTTAATCGTCTAAAACCTATGGGATCTGAACATCCACATCTATATGGGTTACCTAAAACTCATAAGCCTGACAACCCACTGCGTCCAATATTGTCTATGTGTCGATCACCCACACATAATCTAGCCAAATGGTTGGCAAAGCTCTTGAATCCTGTCAGAAGCCATTTATGTAAGTCCTCATTGAAAGATACATTTGACCTTATTGACTGTTTAAATGATATTAATATCAAGGATAAGACTATGTACTCGTTCGATGTAAATTCTTTATTTACTAATGTACCTCTAGTAAAAACAATTGATATTTTATGTGACTATATTTCTTCTAACAGTCTTATATTCCCTATCCCTATTAATTTTTTAAAAGATTTATTGTTATTATGCACTGATAAAGTTGAATTCACATTCGAGGGCGAACACTTTCAACAGATTGATGGTGTCGCGATGGGCAGTCCATTAGGACCGTTGCTAGCTGATGTATACATGTCATATGTTGAAAACATGGCTGACGATCTCATCGGAAGGGTTTCACTTTATAAGAGATATGTTGATGATATAGTCATTATATGTGAAAAGCCTGATGATGCAATGTGCCTGCTACAGAAAATGAACACGGCTCAGAATCACATTAGCCTGACTTATGAACAAGAGACGAACAACCAGCTACCGTTCCTAGACGTATTGCTCAGTCGACGGGAGGATGGCTCGATCAGGAGGTCGATCTATAAGAAACCTACATGGACAGGGCAATATCTTAATTTCCATAGCTATTGTCCAGTCCAATATAAACGTGGTTTAGTCAGATGCTTATTCAACAGGATAAACCGTATCTGCACCGATGACACCAGGGAGGAAGAAGCCAACTTACTGACGACAACTCTGATACAGAATGGATACCCGTTGAGATTTATCGACCGGTGCAAAAGTTATGTACCATTGAAAAGTACACAGTGTTCCGTTGCTAAGAAAAATGTCTACATCTCATTACCATTTAGAGGTGATTCACATAGCTTTGTTGTGAGGAAAAGACTTAGATCGGCCATCTGTAAAACGTATTATGCAGCTAAGGTCATCATTGTAGAGAAGACCAAGTCCATGTTACAGCACAAACCGAAACAACATATAAACGATTACATCACATCCCACTGTGTTTATCAATTTACATGTATGTGTGGACACACATATATAGGGAGGAGTAATCGTGATATGCAGTTAAGGAAGGCTGAACATGTACCTAAGTGGCTACAAAAACAAATGACCTCAACAGATCCGATAAGTGCAGGTGACAAACATCCATCTTCGTCTATCGCTAAACATATACTAGAAACTAACCATAGGATAGACATGAAAACAGCCTTTAAAGTACTACATAAAAGTGGTCAGAGCCGAGTGCTTAAATTTATTGAAGCTCTTGCCATCCGTAAATTTAAACCCCCTTTATGTATACAAAAACAATTTGTACTCACGTTGAACCTACCTTGGTAGTATTGATTTTAATTTTCATACCAAGAATAAGGTTTTCCTTTTTTTCTATCCCTTCCTATTCCTATGTTTCTCATTAACTTCATTGACCTTTTCGTAAATTTTCATATAAATAGTTCGACAAGTCCATGTGTGATCAGATTGTTCGAAATGTATAGCGCTAATACATCACATGTTTCAGATAATCTTCGTCTTCTCATTACGCTGTTTAAATTTATCAAAGGGACCAGTTGCTTCAAATTACAGAAACACTTGAAACAATGTAACAAGTCTGATGAAGTAAAGGTAACCAAATAAAGAAAAAGATAGCTTAAACTCTTAGAACACAAAATGAAGCTCACGGGAGGACTGAAAAGCATTTGAAAAACACATGCGAAAGTTTATATGATAAAATACTCTTAAACAGCACAACAAAAGATTGCAAAGTACTCGCGCGAAGCCAATTCGGCAAATAAGTCCATAATCCATTCTCACAAAGAGGAATAGGAATGCCCTTACCAATAACGTAGAGTGTCCCAGATATTCAGATTTCTAGACAAAACTATTGGAAACACTAACGATAAAAGAAACATCAATCATATGGAACTTACTTTCCAGTCTGCTTTGATAGGTATTTTCATTTTTTTAGGTATCTTTCATATCCCCTGACCAGCTCAAAATAACCAGTCAGAAAACTTTACAAACTCTTGTCTAGTATTACACAAAAAATTCGTACCAAAAAGGTGGTTTATCACTACATTTTGTTTTAATCCTGAACAGTGGACCTGTATTTGTTCAGCTCTTATCCTTTCATCACTAACACAGTCCATGCTTGCTGAAACGTACAGGTAGAGCCACATGAACACATAAGGTTCGTCTTGTCTATGTTATCGGCCTTTGCTGTATGATACGTCCTTCTGATGCACACCTTAAGT